TTGTCTTTAATCGACTCGAAATGCAATCACGATCGAAATGTGCTCAGATGTTTATTGATTCAAAAATTCCTCCAAGAAATGGGTTTACGCAAAACAAGTCTCCTTGTTTCAGGTGACTGCATATTTCTTGTCATTAGGAACAAAGTTTATGTATATTTATCTCAATCTTGCACCCAACCAGAATTTACCTACCATTCTCTTTGCGCACCATTTTAGGCGGGAAACGTATTCACCCAAAGCATAAAGACACGCCCAAAAATGAAGCTGGGACTACGGGTGAGTATTCTTACCGCATTTTTCCAACAATCATTGCTACTCTCAAATTATATTGGTCAAGTTTATGCTTGATCAGTGACTGTTCCTAATGAATTGGTTCAGGTCGTAGTGATGCTTCGTACTGCTGTATATTTAGCAGCCAAGCAAGAATACAAGGAATTTGTTATGATGTTTTTTTTACATGCGAGTGTCTTCTGACCCCTCTTGAATTTCAACATTATTGCTTTAGACAGCTCGATTCGTCTAAATTATATAGAGCGTCCGTGTCAGCATCGGCATCGTTGGTAGCAAGCAAAAAATCAGTGTTGTTTGTAAGCGAACATTTGAGAAAAATGCAAATAAAGAAATATTAACATATCTTCAGAATGAAAAGAATCGAACCCAGGACTTCCGCGCTGAATGTAGGCTTGCTGCTTTAGAGTCACCACACTTAGTTTTGAAATCACACAGGAAAAAAATACACCATATGAAAGTTATGTAGTGCGAGAAGTGTCATAAATACATCCAATATTCCCCTGAATAAGCGCAGACTCACAGCAGCCAGCAAGATGTATTTTAAAATGACTGACTTGTTTAAAACCCATCAATTACAAAGCACAGATGCATAATTAATGAGTGTTGTGAACGTCATAATCAACGAATTGACCAGCTGCGAATTTGTGGTTGTTACTTTACAGACGCGCTGTGTGTACTTCGACAACTCTCAAAAAAAAAAAAGAAAGTGTGTTTTAGTGGACACTTCACAACTGTAATTATAGTAATTATTGTGGAATAGTTTGAAAAGACCGATTTGAATTTGCACCGGTGTTTTTTTTTATAGCTGCACAGTTTATGTGTACTCAGAAAAGCGAAACCAGGCCAACTGTTCATAAGACGATGCGAACAAGATTCGACTACGCTGTCACGATCTATTCTTGAAGTTGAAGCTCAAGTGTCCCTAAAGTTTTTCGTCATTCTGTGGCAAAACCATGACATATATAGAGCAGAATGTTGACACTTCTTTTCATTGTAAATGAAATACATCACGTTTGGTGTTCGGTACAGTTACAGAGGTCTAATGGTCTGCATTGACTTGCGACAGTGGTGCTCTGTGCGTTCTTGTGTCACTCCCCACTGTGTTTATAGCATCCTAATATAACGTAGCACCCAATTCGCATTCAGTTTGCCTGAAAAGAGAACCTATCACTTATCAACGAAGTCAATAACTTTATGTGTCTGGCCGAAAGTTTATCTCCTGACAGGTAATAGATATAGCTTTCTACTGGCAGTGAACCATAAGAGACACATATGAGTTTCGGTAGAAAACAAAAATTAACAGCGAAATGCCTCAGTGCTAACCCACCTACACCTTTCTGCATATTCAGGTGTTTCACCATGGTTTTCGCAATATTCCACCACTGATAATGAGCTGTACAAAAATAACTGTGTCCAAGCATTAAGTTTTTCTTCTGAGAGAGAGATGGTTTTATAGAAACTGACAGCTGCATGCATACCTCACATAGTAGAGGACAGAGTAACGTATATCGTGAACGTAGTTTTGATATGGAAACTGCAAAGCATGAATGTTAACCAGCATGTAAGAGAGTAGCATTTCATAAAGTATATGTCCGATGCTCTTCAGCTTCAGCAGCGTTTTGTGTCTATTTCCAGGCACCAAAGCTGAAGAGATAGCTGGAACCGGAATAAACAATAATGGAATGGGAAATGCAGGTGAGGAAGTTATCATACCTGAAGTGCCCTTTCAAATTTTGGAGTTAAAGGGGCCCTGCAACACTTTTTGAGCATGGTCAAAAAACGCACCTGATCGATAGTAGACGCTTCCGACAACACGCGAGCCTAATATTACAGCGCAGCACGGGGCTTGGAATTCACAATAAACCGTCAAAGTCAGCTAAAAATTGCTTTCTCTTGTCTCGACAAATCACAGTATATGCCCAAAAAGTAAACGTAGTAAGCCCATCTATCAGTCATTAGCTGATTTTAACATGGCGCGATCGCTCGTTACAGTGGTCGCCGCGGGAGGCCGCTACTTGTCCACGCGTGCGTGCGGGATCACACTGAAAAAACCGCGTATTCAAAGAAAAAAAAAGTTCTCAAGGTCACGAGGCACGCGTGACGTTTTTCTGTGGCCCTGCCATCCCTCCCTGCACGAGAGAAGAGAGAATGCAATTGCAGCATGCGACAAACCTTTGTAACTCCCCTCGCACTGGACGGATTTTTAAAATTTTTGCGCGTTACATTCGTGAGGCAATAAGCTTTTTCAGTGAATTCGTTTTATAGCTAGTTGAAAAAATGTTTTAGGGCGCCTTTAGAGTAAGTGTTTAATTTATAAAAAGGCATTTCTAGAATGCTACCTTATGCCTATAGATGTAGATTTGCTATAGATGATAAGTTGTAAAAAGCGAGTAAAGTGAGAAGACCGGCTATTAACTTTGCTAAGCGTTTTGTAGGCTGTCTCGAGTACTTAATTGTTTTTGTTCAAGAAAAATATCGACGGAGTTCCTTTGCAATTTACTTAGACGAATCGAAAGGCTAAGCAATCTTTTTCTTCTTAGTCAGCGCACTAATATTTTACGAGCATGATCTTAGTAATTTAACATCTTTTTAAGGAGTCACTGACCTTGTGACTGGAAAGATGTTGCATATAACACCAGAGCTCTTTCGACATGCAGTATAAATTTATACACACGCCAAAAAAGTTGGCCCTGTGAAGCTGGTGTCACAAAAAGTAACATCGCCGCCGTTATAACATCCTTCCGTACTTCATCAATATATGAGCAGAAAAATTGCAATTATAAAAATTTCCATGTCCTTTGAATAAATGACACTTCAGTACAATTTGAGGGTGACATTAACGTTGCATCACAGCATCACAGTTTGAGCGCGACAGGTTGATCTCGTTGGAGGTTGGCTCGATGATATAGTAAACCATGTACCTTTTGTGTTAGCGTGTAACACTGATTTGTTGTTGGATATTCTCAGGAATGATGCAGGGAGGAATGATGGGCGGTGGCTATGGGATGGATATGGGCTATGGAACGGGTGAGTACAAGTTTAATCTCATTATGGAGGCGAGGTGTATCAAGTTTCAAGAACTTAATTGATAACGTAAAATGTAAATGTGATAAAAATAAGGAGAACAAGTGAAATGATATCTCAGGAGCTCTATAGTAATGTAACGTTACTTCTGTTAAAACTGATGTCATTAGAGCGTCATTTTTTCCACAAATGTTTTTATGGAGTGTTTTGCAGCTTTCTAATATTACTTTTTACGGTTGCTAATTCTGCTAGTACACGTATAAATATAACAAAATGGTAAAGTTTACCTATTTAATCGAGTCGCAACGTGAAAACAAGACCAGCAGAAAGTACGTAAAAAGAGGACAAATTAGTGCTCTGTTTATGTGTTCCCGGTCCGTCGTTTCCTTTGCATTGTCATAGTCTATTAAACATTACCACTCAGTATTTAATACAGGAGCGAAGAACAGCCGTTGACACTTTGCGATTACGCACCACTGCAGGCACTCGTATGTTGTGCGATAAAATTAACACAAAACTACAAGTACGTAATTAAAGAACGACTTCATATTATTCCTGTAGCACACGAAAGCAACAAGACACAACAACTGAACAAAGACAAAACACAAAAGCTCATGTGCTTTCAAGGGGTGGCTACCAGCAAAAGAAGAACAAAACCTCATTTTGAGGCTAGGAGTAAAATAGGGGTACTCATGAGCGTGTTGGTTGGGGCCCCAAGTCCCGGGCTACACTGGCTTGCGCCTCTCGCCTAACATAACTCAGAAGCGCTAATTGAACCTCTGGGTTCGGGCTGGCAAGTTGCGCCTCCCACTGCTCCGAAGTAGTTACAATGGTGTTGCCTAAAACGATTTCGAATTATCGGGCTTTCGGTAACAATCCCAAGAGATGTGATTTAATGTTACCGAACTGCCGCACTAGGCACAAGCGTAGTGGTTCAACGTAGGATATATTTTGCTGAACCGCGATAAGTTTGAAAAGACTCCCGTCTGCAGCTTGCAGAGATGTGCAGCGTCTTCGCCCTTTCACATTACAGTTGTGACGAAAAAGACGTGCCACCATGCCGCAACACCGCCAACCAATGGCTTGCTCTGCTCGTGCTGCTGATGGGTATTGTCTGGCTGGACTGTCTCTCACGTGGTCTCGCTGCTTCTCACAATAATGCCGTTGAACCACCAATGACCTTCTTCACCACCGGTGAAGGTTCGTGTGCTTCACTGTCACTGAGCCCCTGACCTGCAAAGCCGAACGCCTCTATACCCACCATGACCAACGGCGCGAACTCACCTTCGCCTTTGCTCCGGTCCATCACCTGTATCGGGGTTTGTTGGCGGTTGTTGGCTGTTCAACGGCGTTAGGCTTATCAGCAGAGAGGTGGCGCAAGACACAGTCTGGCGTGGCAACAGCGATCAGCAACACAAGCAGGATGAGCCGGGCGTCGATACTGCTGGATGAAGGGACATCGTCTGCACACTGTACTTAGCGCACTAAGCTTTAAGAGTTAAGATTCACAAAGACGGGGTCAAGGAAGGGTAACGCACTCAAAACTAACACACATGCTTTCTCTTGTGAGTTTGTATACATAATTAGCAATTAACACTTTGACATATATGGTTTGTAATATAAATTTATCCATTCAATTTTTTTTTCATTCCAGGTGGCTACGGCATGATGGGGGGCATGGGAATGTTAGGTATGGGTATGGGAGGTATGGCAGGAATGGGCATGGGCATGGGAATGGGAACTATGGGGATGGGAAATATGGGAATGGGCGCCATGGGAGGCACAGGTAAGTGAAAAATTTTTGTTGTATTGACAGAAATCTTGATGTCTTATGGCAGCAACCGGAAGCTTTGACTCTATAATGACATAAAATGCTCTCACTCTTCCCTCGCTCTTGTACCACTCGTATCCCAAAATGTCAATTCGATAGGAACTTGGGTCAGCTAGTCTGTAGGAACAATAAAAAAATAACATTAACAGAGAGGTCATCTTATATTGTCTCTTTCATGGTTGCTACATAATGTTATTGCGTGAAATTCCCGTTTGCATTTTTTCGTTCTCTTTATGTGAAGATATCTTATGGTGATTTTCAACTAATCTAGCAGTTGTGTTGCTTCATTATTGTTTTATAAATACCTAATCTAGCCGTTGTGCTGCTGCATTATTGTTTTATAAATACTAGCAGTAGTTGTATATTAAGCAAAAAAGGGTCATCTTATGAAAATTTGTAATTACCCGTCAATAATTTAATGAAGGCAATAAACAAGTTATTGGGGAGTAGGAAGAAACAATCAGCAGCGAATATGTCCGCAATCTATAGTTTGCTAATAACACTATTTCCTTCAACTCTGCCGGCTTTGAAGGGCAACAAAAGAATGAAGACCCTCAGATGAGAGGGTACAAAATAGGTTGAAGATTAGCACGCAGAACATAATAAGTAATCAGCATTCTGACACGGAGTCCCCACAAGTTACTAAATGACACATTTAAATAAACGACTTGGCAACAGTGGATCCTGTTGACTATTAACAACGCAAAAAAACAGATATATACCATGACAATATAATCTGATTTAACAGAGAATGAATACGAAGCGCTTAACCACAATGCTTTGAGCTGAGGTTTTGTTTTTTTCTTCGTTAATTTTAAAAATTTAGCAAATAGTACCTTCTCGCCCAAGAAATAGCTTTCTTGACAGAGCGTGATTATGAAAAATAAAATAAAATGATTATGAAAGTGAAAAAAGGGTCCAATATAGTGCGTAAAGCAGCGATTACAAACATACGAAAATGTAAAATGGGGACAATAAAAGTGGACACCAGCTACGATACATCGCATAAAAGCTACACCTTTCTGTCTTCGACCAAACAAGTTTCCGCCTGGTTATTTATTATAAAATGTTTATGCATAATTTTATCAGTTGTAGACAATGAGGCACACATTCTTTCGTTGTACGTATATATTATCGTGAAAACGCCACAGAGTGGAGCTTTACAAAACGCAATCGGCGACAAAAAAATTACCTGTTAAATAGACACCATTTCATTAAAAATAAACTGATAAGTGTGTAGTTGAAGTAATACGCTTGGAATGATTCTTGTTTGTGTCGAAGAGTCGAAGGTCCTAATGCGTGGCTTGAGGCTGTGGAAAGTTTTTATAAGCTAGACAAGCTGAAAGTTTGGCATGAAAACTGCAACAATATGGCTTTCAACAAAAAATTTAAAGTAGATCTGAAATGTATATGTACCCCATTGAGGGTTATGTTCTGCTTATCCAGCAAGGCTTCGAATGAGAAGCATTTAGAATCAAAAAGAAGTTTTGATTGACGGTTGCTTTTAGCTTAGCGTGTAGCCTAATTATTTATCTGTCTACTACTGTGGGCCTTCTCATGCTTATACCACGGAAGACGTGAAATATAAAGAAGACTTTAGATTCCAAAAGAGAAAAGAAAGAAATTAAATTTTTGTAGTAACAATAACAGCGACAGTAACAAATGATGACATGATGTACTATTGTGATGACGTGCCGTGCGGAAAAAAAAACATTTAATGAGGTAGCCTTACGGGTTTTCACACCTCTGATTTGTGCTGATGTAATGCGCGATGATGTGCTTGAGGTTTGTTAATCTGGTGTCAAGACGGAAATAATTATCAGTGTCTCATTACTTAGGTGCTGAGGCAGGGGCTGTAACTAACACGGTTGGCACTGGCACTGGGAATATTAATGGTGAGTGCAAGGAGATGTCTTCAACGTTCCAAAGAAATACATTGAACTGCAGTAGTGCGACACCCGAGATGTAGCATTTGGCGTGTATGTAGAAGGTGTAATCTGGTTCACACGTTTTTCATGGGAGATGACAACAAAAACCTATTGTAAAAAAACCATTCTAACCGAAGAAGGCCAAAAAGGCTGCACTGATGGTGTCAGCCTCAAAAAAAAAAAAATCCATATCTGGTCAGCCTTCTGGTTAAAGTATTCTCGTATAGTAACTGTTTTTTTGTAAAGATATAATTATTGTACAGTGAAAACCAACAGTTTTCGCATAAAATATCATAGCGATTTTTCAGTACTCTGCAGGCCCACCGAGTCTTCGAGAGTTTTACTAACCAAATGAATTTGGCCATTCGTTTATAGACGTTATTTTCTGTTTTTGTGCTTTTTTTCAAGTTTTTGACATATAATTGCCTAATTTCGCTTCTTTTCTTCTTCAGTCATTCAGCTTCATCTCCCCAACCTGTTTTCTCCTCTCATAATAGTAAACAGACATCCTGTCGCCTCATCTGTGCCCTTCGTGTATTTGAGTAGGCATGTGTGACATTTGATTATGTAAGTTATAAAATAGAAAAAAAAATAAAAAATGAACATAACTGACACTGCTCCAGAGAATCATGAGAAAACATAAATGACCTGTGCAGAAATAAAAAAAAAACGAAACAGCTTTTTTGTTTTTGGAAAGAATATAAAAGAAACTGAAAGGGAGAAGTGACAGTACCAACTAGGTGCGACTACGCCTCACTCATACTTTGTCAATCAAGGATATAAGGTTCGGTGATGTGAAAAGCAGTGTTAGGTTGGAAGTCTGCAACCCTCCTGTTGGCGTATAACGGAGTGGTTCATCTAATGCATGAATGAGAATTTACCAAAATGGTCTTCCTAATACGTGGAGTATGAGTTTCAAGTCCATTGTATAGCAACGTACACTCCATACTTTGTTCCGAATTTCCCCCCAAAGTATTCTAAATGCCCGTTATTTTTTGCACAGATGCTGGCAACACTCAGAGAGAAAAAAATACTGAAAGAAAGGCGGAGACCGTAAGTGGAGGTGGACAACAAAGTGGTTCAGGTGGAGAAGACCAGACGTCAGGTCTGTATAATATAATTTTTGTGTTTTACTCTCACATAACGTAACAATAGGAAAGTAACCTGTACAAACGAGTGATCGAGAGGTATCATAAGTTTGTCAAGCGTTTTGAGTGGAATAACACCTCTTCATTCTTTCTTGCATCATTGCACAACAACGTAGACATCCTACATTCGTTTGTGACGTCCAACAAAAGCACTGTTGACGTTTTCGAGGGCCACACATCTTAACGAACTTTTCAGAAAAGTTAGTTAAGGCGTGTGAGGGCGCGTTTTGTCAAAAATAAAGTTGTTAACGCTTGCCACGCCCTTTGCAAATGCTATCGAAGTGCTGTGGGAAAGCTGTTGATGCTCTATGTTAAATGCGGTAACAAGCCCTTGCGATAAGCCATCACGAGTCTATATGACATTTAGCTACATGAATAGCTAGCGTCAGTAGGTGTTCTAGGTTTTTTTTTTTTCGGCCACAGCTTTACCATCGCCCAAGCCACAGCATGTGAAATCAATTATGACACTTTCCGGTGGATGAAGAGTTACACTTTATGTACAAACATGGTTTCTACAAATGGTGTCTGAAAAAACACTCTGTCAGAACGTGGTCCACCATGCTACGCATCGATTGCTTCCTCGGCTGAGCATAGGATATGATGGTCTCGGCGATCAAAATTAGCGCTATACTCCAGCAGAATGTAAACTCCTAAAATAATGTCGCCAAAGGATTCGCACAGGGCAGGGCACCTGACTACGAATATATGTCTTTGAACATAAACGCTATAGTGCACGTGCCCAGATGAGTAATGTCGTGGCCGCAGCTGCATAAATCTGCGAGTTACGCCGGGGCGTGAATGCCTTTCTCCCCTGTGTTGCCACTTTCTCGCTTAATATTGAATAGTCTACAGTGGTGTCCACTAACACAATTTCTGCGTAACCATAAGTCGATGCTGGTGCGTCGAGTGATAGACGGTCGTGCCGTTCAGCAGAAGGTGGCATCGGATCAGTATGTAGCTGGGAGTGAGGAGTCATGGGTTCGATTCCCGATGAAGGTTGTGGCTTTTTTAACGTGATAGCGTTCGCAGGGTTTCTGGCGTCGGCATAGGTGTCGGCGTCGGCGTTTGTGAGCGAGAACTCACCGTTGCGTGACCGATAAATCGGCAATTTTTTGTGACTGAAAAATTTAGAAAGATGCAAATGAAATAATTAATAAAAGAACTCCGGGTTTGAGTGGTAATCGAACCCGGCTCGTTTGCGTGGCAAGCGGGTGTTCTACCACACGACCACGCCTGTGTTTGTAAATACAGTGAAAATCACTTCTTCTGCTTGGAAATGCACTGAAAGTAACTTTCACGCTGCACAAACACGCACGTCCTGTGTACATGTTTTTCAATACAACATGAATATTGCTGTAAGAATGCGTGGGACAAGCGTGCTTTGACATCGGGCGTCAGAACATGGAATTATCATGACTTCACAGTCTAAAGCCAGTCACACACTACAAAAGGCACCTACTACTACACCCTTATATGACAGTGAAGGGGGGGGGGGGCATAGCAACTTCGAAAAAATTTTATACACCAAGTGTTTGAAGCACGCACAATGGACAGAATATAGCTATTGTGTTCAACTCCAGGGGCGAAGCTTAAGGTCCCGTACCCCCCGTTTTTTTGTCATCTGTTAATGTGCCCTTTGCATTAATAAAACAGTGTCGTGTTTTATTAATGAACAAACCTCCAGTAACCATCCTCATTCACTGCACACAAAATTACTGTTGGGTATATTTTGCTTCGACGACATGCAGTTCAGCGCAATATCGATGATGGTGAAATTTATAGCATAGAAACTGTCAGGACAAAATTATGCCATTTTTTTTACCATGGTATGTATAAATTTGTACGGGTCTCGTGCACGTGGCAAATTTATTTACACAAAGCTTCCTGACAAGTCTATATATTATGTAACTGTATTACACACTCATTGTTTTTTTTTTCGTTAAAGAAAGTAGTCTGTTTGGTGTACTTGTAGACTGGAGTATTACCCTCGATACGGCTACGTATAATATCAGACGTTCATATTAAGGGCTATAGGTGTTAATACTCCTCTGAAGAACGTCTGCATGCGTGCTTGTTTGCCAACAGATAAGTCAAGAAAGAAAGAGGAAGAGAGTGCTAAGGAGAGTGAAAAAGGAGGTATGTATGCCTTATTAGAGCCGAGCTTATGAGAATTGGAATTGAGATGTATTCTGCAACGAGATCATGTTGCGAGAAGAGCAGGTGAAAGTTGTTAGAATAGCTCGAGGAGCCCTTAGTCTCCTTAAAGCGAGATTTAATGGGAGAATAAGAAATCCGGTCGTATCTTTAAGAATACTTTGTCTCAGTTAATATAAGTACTACAGAACTAGACGAAAAGTGGGAGGTAATAGAAATTGCGGGGATCTAACATCCCAAAACTAGATTCTGAATATGAGAGATGTCTTCATGGAGGGCTCCTGAAATTTCGACCCCCTAGAATTCTTTAACGTGCACGTAAATCTAAACACATGGGTCTGAAGAAAAAAACAAAATATAATAAGTGGAAGTTGAAGCAATGAAAACGGTTGATCTCCCTTACACATAACGTGTAGATAGATGTCTGTTTGGTTATTTTGTGGTCTACAGCCCTGCACGCTATACTGCTATGACTGATACTATGAGCCGTTGGCCAGCGTTTGTTTTCGTGTTTTTGTTTAACAACTTCGTTCTTGGCGCTTTCTCTCCAGCAGAAAATCCAGCAAAAACAAACGAAGAAGGAAATGAATCTGCTAAGGAAGACGAAAAGAAAGAAGGTATGCGGGTATGATAACCTCCGTAGCATATGCCATCAGCCGGAAAGGCTGCCTTTTAGCTGAAAAAGAATGAAATCTAAATGTGAGGATGTGAAAGCAAGACTTCTCTTTCAAGAAAAAAAATATTTTTTCCCAGTTACTGAAAGAGCTAGAGAACTACAGAGACAGAGTGAAGCTGACTGAGAGATACACCAATACTCATTGGCCGCCTGTTGTTACGTGGAGTAGCCTCTTCGGCAAATTTGTAGACAAGTCTGCATGGTAGACTCCTACGTCCTATATTTAAAGCTGTTTGCACGCGCTGGGTGTCCCATGAATTTCTCAGTTTTTTTTTCATGGACGCTCTTTTACAATAGAAAAGTCGGAAGACAAGGACAAGGCCGGAAATGATGGTGATAAGGAAAAAGAAGGTATGTGTGTTCACGTTTCCACCATAGCATAAGCCATCCGTCAGAAAGTTTAACTACAGGCTGAAAAAAAAGAAAAAGAAACTTAAGTTGGGAGATAAACAACCACTACCTAATTTTAGAAATATTTAGCAGCTGTCTTTATAAGTAGACTAGAAAACTACTTGCGAACTGGAGCGACACAAGTACTAAGTGGTCTCCAATTGTTTGAGGCAGGTGTCGTGGTGATATAATTGTGGGTTCCTAAAGTGAATGCGTCATTACTATGCCGGTCCCTGTATAATTTCAACTTGCTAGCTTGAAACACTTCAAATATATATTTAATACGTCGAATAAGCGTGCTAGCCTACGGTGCATGGTTGACCGGAAAGGTAATAAAAGTCCAATATAAAATGTAAAATTTTAGTGACAGATAAATTACTTGAGCAATCGAATTTACACATTGGAAGTGTCGACTGAACCCTGTTCTTTCATAACCTTCATTCTCTCTATTTCTCCCCTTCCGAGGAGGAAGGCGTTGGGCCCCTAAAGGTTCACAGTTGTCAGCCTATTTCCTCCCTATTTTTCTGTGTGTTCGTGTTTTTTTATGCATACAAAGCAAATGATATTAATAATAATAATAATGATTCAGCAAAATATCCCAGCGCAATAGGCACGGAGTTATGACAGAGCGTGATATCAATATAGGCTAATCACAAAGCGCGAACCTTGTCCCGATATCACTTGCTACAGCGCATGCAGACCATACTATCCGTATATTTGTATCTGCGTACAACCTGAAGCTTGATGCAAAAAAAAAAAAAATCAAGGAAAGCGTATAGTGAACCAACGAGGTTCCATTATGGTGTCTCAAATCTCTTTTTATGGTAAAGCAGAGTACGCTTTCACCTACAGTTGCGTACACTGTAGAGGTATCGTTAATAGCCCTCTCGTTAACGCTCGTTGAGTTCAAGGGATTGTTGAACCACTTTTTATTTTTTTGTGTATTTCATGCACTGTGGCAATTAAAAGTACATTCTCAGTGAGCACTTATGTGTGTGCTCCTTGTATCTATGTCTTCTTGGGCTAGTTTTTTCTTTATGATACTTCCAAACCAACTAGCCCACCGAGAAGCATTTGTAGTGCCATCATCACCATCATCATTTCTGGATCACCGCGCCGCGCCTCTCGCGCAGCTCATGCTAGCTCGAGCTGCGCGAGGATAAGAACGAGCTCACGCACCTGGCGCGTCGGACGTGGACAGCCACCGCGGCTCCTCTTCAGGCGTGCAATAAAGTGGCGAGATCAGCACGGCCCCGTCGGCCGCCTTCGACGCCGTCTCACGTCTCTCTTCTCTCGCCGCTACATTGGTGACCCGGACGTGATTGATTATAACTGCTAGTTAAGTGTTGTACACTCATCCAACCATTTTTATAACGCACTGATTGTGACCCCTAGTAAAGTCAGAAAACGAGAAGAAAGAAGCAACGCAAAAGGAAAATGAAGATAAGGATCTAGGTATGTTTCTTGTCTCAACTAGATTTGCCGAAGTCTTCTGCCCAGCAGTGTACGCTCTACGGGCAAAGCAATGCCTCAAGAGTAGAGAGAGAAAGAGACAATTTATTTACAGAAAGGTAGAGAGGTCGGCCTCAGCTATAGTTTGCTCTGGCCTGCTACTCCACACTGGGGAAGGGTGACTGGGGAGTGAAAGAGTGATGAATGACGATGGTAAGGTAGAGAGATGATATGTTCTTGTTAGGCTGGGTAACTCTACAGACGTGCATCCAGTCCAGTGGCTTCTAAGAAAGCGATGACGGCTCGTGTAACCACATGTGTGCTGCTGGCGTCAGGCCAAGGACCTAACACAACCTCATCGGTTAATGGTCGACTAATATATCGGCCAATCGAAAATATCAGTTGCTGGCCTTCGCTTGCATATGCTGGACAGTCGCAAAATATATGTTCGAGCGTTTCTGGCAACCGACAGTGACCACAATTGGGACCTGTGTCATTACAGCCAATCAAGTGGGTGTAACGTCTCGTGCAAGCCACACCGAGGCGAATGTGGTGGATAATGCATGAGATGCTTCGCTTTAACTTGTGAGGCATACGGAACTTCATTTCCGGGTCCCATTTGTGCAGCCGCTTCTGCTGGTGTTCTGGTTTCTGCCAGTGCTCTAGTATATAGCCTAAAACAGAACGACATTGGCGCAAGGACATATGCGCTCCATACCTATTTTCAGCGGTGGAAACCTTCGCTTCTAGTGGTATTCAATACGAATGCTCTATAAATGCTGAATGACTTGTATATATTGCGCGAGGTGGTAGATCTGTTGACTGAAAGCAGTTGTAAGCATGGTACAGCGCATATAACTCAAGTCTGCCTCATAATTCACTCTTTCTCACTCTCAGAGAAAAAAAAATGTGGATCGAGAAAGCGAGAAAAAAATGAAGGATGAAAAGACAGGTTTGCATATTTACTGATACGCGACGCATAGGCCATCATACTAAATATATAGAGCTAGAAAGTCTCATATCTCTCAGCTGAATGTTAGAGGAGCAACGCCATACAAAATGTATCGCTCTCCCAGCTATTCTGTGCTACGTTTCGGCCTATAAATACAAGCTCGGTCTGCAAATCTTCGGCGCTCCCGTCAATCGCTTATGCAAAGGAGTTATATAAGCTGGTTTCCTTTCTAGTCATAATTGTTTTTTTCTCTGCAAATGTACACACCACGCACATCGGAAAATATAGCTTACGGTTCCTACTCAAAATATAATCTTTGTCTAAGCATCAAATCTCTGATGAAATATGCCAGAGGGTATTGTTTTTTTTACTTAATAATAGCGACAATAAACTCTGTCACCAACTACTTTTTAAAGATTGCGAAGCCAGTGCTGCACGCCTCAGAAATATGCAGACGCGTCAGCACGTAAAGTCTATGCTAATTCTCCTATGGTATCACTGAGGTGGCTGTCGGTGGAGGTTGTATTATTTATTATTATATTGTAACTGATTGTAAGTTCTTGAGTATTTGACTTCGCATTGTGCGTAACTTGGTATGACAGGCACAAAAAGGATGACGGGGCTGTCGATGTTACACGAAGTGGTTTGCTCAAGAGAGTGGTCTGCGGTTGGATTTTAAAGGGGCCCTGCAACACTTCTTCAGCGTGATTGAAACATTGTCAATTGATAGCCGAGGCACTAAAGAACATGTGAGCCAAACACCGCTCGCGTTCCCGCAAACATGCTGTGCTTATACGAAAGGACGCATCTTGTTCTCCATGCGTAGCTTTGAAAGAACTCGCTAGTGAAAAGGCATAGAGAATGGGTGCGATAATGCACGTGATAAATCCATGAAACTACGTTCGTACTTGATGGACTTGAAAAATATTTTTCGCGACAGTCAGTTCGACTATGTGAACGGCTCTAATTTTAAAACCGTTCAACGAATACGTAGAACAATTTTCCTGGGGATCCTTACGCTAACCGATGCAGTAATATCTGAATCTATAAGAGGTGCTTGTTCTACCTGTACCGCAGTCAGCCATGTATATTACCTTTAGCATGCTCATTATTACTTGCCGCACAATGTACAGTAGACGAAATTGTGCATGGATTAACTGCAAAAGCCTTCGAAGGATAACAAAAGATTGTGTATGGGCCTTATATTAACCAAGCCTCATACTATGTGAGCTCAGACGTACTGGCACGTGCCACAACCTCGTGTTTAAAAGTGAATCTCAGGCAACGGCACTAATTAATGATGTGCGTTCGTTCCAGAGAAGAGAAAGTGTTACGGGAAGTCATGTCTAGCGTGCATCTCCACTTTCTTATCAGTATACGCGCATGGCCCTCCGGCGTTAAATGAAAGCTTTCATCGGTATCTGTAGGCGTCACAGGCAAGTTAGTCAGATTAGTCTAAATCTAGTGCGGTATAGGTTGTAATAGAAGAATGCAATATCAGTCCAAGAATTCATTTTTTTTCTAGTGTATAATTCTGAACGCTGAAGAAGCTCACCGTCAGCGCCATTTTACGTGGCAGCTCGAGCAATGCTGGCTTGACCATATCGGTATCACGTACGGTGGTCCTTTTTCTACAAATCAGAGCTTTTTCAGCGAACAATACAATCTTGCCGGACTACGGTGTCGTTTAGTCCTATTTATTACTTCCACTGTGTTTAATATGTGCTCCCTGATGTACAGATAAGGCAAAAGAAGGCGGTGGAGATGGCGAAGCATCTAAACCTGATAAAAACAGAAGGTACGTACCTTTCACTAACACTGCATTAACTTGATGAATCAGTGTGTAGCCTTTTGCACTGCCGTAGTAGCTTCGCCGCTGCGCAGCTTAGCGCTGCGAAGCATGTTCGTTTACAGGGTTGAGAGTGACCGCATTTTGATGATACTGGCGAAATGATAATACAGCCTTGCAATTTTTGTGTACGCTTGAAAAAATAATCTGCTGTTAAGTATTTCAGATTCACTCAGTATACAGCGAGCCCGGTTATCATGTCGCGACTTTCGCACCTGAAAACCCCGAATTTTCTTTTCAACCTTATCATAGCGCGAAAGCCACACAGATATATACCTGTATGTGACACTAAGTGCCACAGAATTCCATGAGTAACTGGCACCTGATGTTGCTACCCAACATATCTGCACTGTCTCCTTTTCTTACACTCTTGATTATGTAAAAATGCCTTGCAGTGTCTTTCTTAGATGCAAACTGTGGGCAACCTTGCGATTTGTGTGACCTCTCATCGCGAAACACCTATTTCTTAAAACTATGTTTATGCCATATATACTGATTGACCTACAGTACAGAGAGAAAATAAAGACCAAGGGAAACCTGGTGATCCATCCAGACTCAAGACCGAACAGGTACGCGTTTTTGTTACCAGCCAAAATCAGAGGGTGAAAAGGAAGTGCACAAGTTTAGCAGCAGACATTCAGTCGTCCTTAATTACGTTGACCTACCCATAATGCTTTTGCATCTAACGAGGCAAGAATGAAAGCAATATTTACGTTCTTGTAAACAATATGAATACGCCTCCCCCCTCCGAAATATTACGGCACGTAATGGAGTATTGCGCTGCTGCTTAGATCAGAAGCATTCAAAGCTTTCTTCACGTCAACTGGTTTTACAGAGACTCCGAGATTGGCTCACCGTTGAACAAGCAGGGCATTGTAATCAAATCAAATCAAATCAAGTTTTATTATTTTGTAATAATATGTACAAATAAAGAATATACAGAAGGAGGTCCCGTAGTATACACTGAAGTGGGACCTCCTATGAAATGACGTAAACATGTGACGTCACGCCTTTTCGAAACCAAGGACGTCATCAGATGATGACTTTTGGTATTACTCGTGGTAACTTCTGCCGTTTTATGAGGCACAAAAATTATAGAATCCAGCATTTAACTTACACAAACCAACATATGAATAGGAGAGACGCCGTAGTGAAGGGTTCCGGAAATTTGGTTCACCTCGGGTTCTTTAGCATGTGCCTAAATCTAAGCACATGGGCCTTAAACATTTTCGCCTCCATCAAACAAGCAGCCACCACAGCAATGATTCGATGCCACGACTTGCGGGTTAGCAGCCGAGTGCCATGACCCGTAGATCAGAAATACGAGGCTGAAACACCTAATGTGTTCACCCTAATAACCGCCATATAAAATCGCGACAGCTGACATTATGGAGGTGCACGGGCTTGGACAGTACAGAGTTTGTGGGAAAGATAACCGATAGTGTGTTAGAGCTGCTTATATAAGCTAAAAATTGTTTATAAAAAAGGCAAGCACCACAGGTGGAGGGAAAAAGTTATAAAGTTATATGAGATTCAGAAGTTGTGGCTGCAACAAGCATACAACCAGGTCAATCAGCGGACTATTGCAGAGGTATTTCTGCGTTGCAAGGCTAGCGATGATGATAATAAACGTACAAGTGTCTAAAAAAACTGCATGAACCAAAAACGACCACTCACTTTACCTACGAACGCCTTATGCACATCCTCGTCATTTCCTTCTGTGATCTACTAACACGCTGCCACTCCGTCATTCTGCTAACACTTTTTGTATTGATGTTTGTGGGTGTAATGACGGATTCTGGGGCTTGGTGTCAGTCACAACACAGTGTCAAGTGGCAAGCATTGAATATAAAAAATCTCTACAAGCTTCAAAGCTTTTACAGGCATTTATATCGGCTTCTATATTCGGTTGATATTTCATGAATAGCCGATATCTGCATTTTGTTCGTCCATCCGTTTTACAAATGTAACATAAACTGGAGTGCATGTCGACCTAACATAAGGGATTCCGACTTGGGGAACCGAGGATGGATGTGAAAACGTGAAAGATTGTAGATGAACGAGAAATTTTTTAAATATTCTTAAGTGAAATAAAAACCAAGCTTTATATAAAAAAGACATTAGCTGTAATAAGACATATTATACATTCAATGTTACCCTAGTTATAGACATCCTAGATAAAACGTTTAAAACACGAGAGCTAATTTTATGTTTATTGCAAGGGTTAGATGAGAACCCAATACATTCACTCTTCCACAATAAAAAAAAAACAAAAAAACAAACGCTCAAAGCATATTGACTATAAAGGCGAATGATGACAATTATAACAAACTGTTGCCGACATGCATAAAATATAGCTTGTACTTTTGACAGCAATTTATGATGTAGTGAGCCTTATCCTACGTAGAAAAGAAACTTGGTGCTATGAAGGCAAGGTCGTGCGAACCCCCAATACTTCTCACAGAACGTTGGAACGTACTTATAAAAACAGATCATGCGATTTGCCAGCCGCTCGGGTGGACATTGTATCCATAGTTGCCAATTTTTACGGCTCATCACAGCGTACTTCCCTCTAGCTAAAGGAAAAAAGTGCCAATTATCATGGCAATAACCATACCACGTAACCTCGTCAGCTCATTCTACAAGATTACTTTAAGTTTTTTTTCTAATTTTCAGGCACCAGAGAAGATGGCATCACGACCACAGAGAATTCGTTCCATTCATGCGGTTATAAAGATACTGCTACTGTGTTCTTTTGCACAGAGTCACTCTGCAATGTCATGGAAGGGAATAGAAAATGTTTACAAAATAAACTGCTCATTTATTGGTTTTTTATTTAGTTGTAAACAATATTCACTCGCCTACCTTATAGACGATTGCCTTGGTTTTACCCTCACCACCTGAAGTGAGAAGATAATCTCTTGTCATTTACTGTATATATTGTCTCTTTCTTTCACCTCCCCTCTCCCCCATCCTTAAAGACGCTTTGCCGTGCCCCCATGATGGGAGGAAGAAAATGGCGTCCTTTTATTTTCTTCTTCCTCGAATCACTTTCTCTCTCTCTCTCCCTCTTAACAAGCCAAGTAGTCCTACCCATATTTGACTAATTACTGTTGTAGATTGAATTGCTACTTTGTTTTATTGCGAAACCGGAACAAAGCGAGGAGAACCGCCGTTGAAAGGATAATGCGCTTTCACCTTCTCTCACAGATGGTCAGAAGAATTCGCCTACTTGTTAAAAACGCTTTGGATTAAAGAGTATTATGATTATTTACGAAGCAGATACCTCTGTTCGGGTGAAGCGTAAAGCGGTATTATTATAGTCTTGTTTGCTCACACAGCCTTTTCAAGGCACACTGCCATCGCTCTGGCAATCGTAAGTGAGCTCTCAATATCATGTCTCATAGGCCGAATTCCGCTTTCAGCTAATCCACAAAGGCTATCATCGGAATTTCTTTCATCACATTCGCACATAGCGAGTATTCACCACCAAACGTAATAAATGCTGGGCATGGTTTATTTCATTCATATGCGCCCCCGCCTGGTACGCGTGTCAATGACCATAAACTATATGCAGAAGAAACCCCTGCTCACTGAGAGCGTACAACTCTGATACCCGTAGCAGAAAATACAACTGTATTCTCGTTGTAATGAAAAACCATCCGACTGGATTATGGCGATCCTTCCACTTCATAGCACTACTCTTAAAAATAAAAATAAAAAAAAACTGTGCATTTTTGTACATAGAGGTGTCCGACCATCTGTTGTCGATTCAACTACAACAAGGTGGCAGCTTTCATGAGAACTCGTCTAAATCGTTTGCATACCTTGAATAATCAACATAAAGCAAAATATTTATAAGGCGAGACAGATATGTGACGCAGACAGCATTAGTAAGAGAACGCTCTATGAAACCAGCACTGCCTCTCGAAGATATGATCTCGGAGACAGAGAAGCACATTTATAGAAAAAAAAATGAGGGTCCTTAAATCTTCGCCCTTAAGAGTTGAACGCGATAGCTATAGCCTGTCCCTAGTATATATATATATATATATATATATATATATATATATATATATATATATATATATATATATATATATATATATATATATATATATATATATATATATATATATATATATATATATAAACAGTTTATGACGCCGTTTCAAAATTGCTATGCACCCACAGCGTGGTCTTAACGAAATTGGGGCCGTGGCGAGTGGGTCTTTGTAGTGGATGACTTGTTTTAAACCACGAAGCCATTATTATAATCATATGTTCTGACACCCGATGGCATTGGGTGCTGGAACGACGCATTAATAGTTTGATATTTCATGCTGTATTGTGAAGCATGTATACAGAACACGTGTGTTTGTTAAAGGGTGTGTTACTTTCACTGCGTTTCCAACCAGAGGAAGTTATTTTCACTGTATTCACAAACAGAGGCGCGGTTGTGTGGTAGAACACTCGCTTGCCACGCAAACGGCCCGGGTTAGATTCACCGTGACTCACACCCAGAATCTTTTATTATTTATTTTATTTGCATATTTATCAATTTTTCAGTCACACATAAGATGATTTTTTTTTGCTCACAACCAACCACGCTGACGCCGACACCCGAATTTCTGTGAAACGAGCTCCTTAACGCTGTCGCGTCAATAGAATTACCTAGCAAGCTTTGTTTAACAGGAAGATTTTGTAGGCATCATTCATTTCAACTCTTTCGTTACCATGCCTTTTCAAATCGATCACCGATGATCGACGCTTTGAATCCTCGATTTCGGTATGTTTAATTTGTTTCTCATGCACGCAGAATGTTCTAGTAGTTAGTCCAGCCACTCAACTTTCAGAATCTACATGTATTAGCCCATTTGGGCAACATAGTGATTTTGACGGACGTTTGCGAGAACAAATGGGGTGTGCTGTTGGGAAAATGCACTTGGCTGGCGAACTTGACAGAAGTGCGTACTACGCGTGGTTATGCTCAACGTTTTTAGATATCCAAAAACGTCGGTTGTGCTACAGCAACATCAAACTTGCGTAATCAAATGAAGGTATGGAAGTCAAATTTCAAATTAAGGTGCCAGCTTCGCAATCTAACATTATTGAGCAAGAATAATAGCCTGAAATTTATGCCAGCTATTCAATAGAGAACTATTGCTTGAAGTTAGGAATGATTTATTGTACGAAAACTATTTCCACAGGTATGACGCATGTATAAATCACGGAGGTAGCCTTCTGAGCCAGTTTCCAGCAGCTTTGGTTTCGCTTCTATTATACCAAACACAGGGCCGCAACTAGTGTCATTAGTAGCTTCTGTGGTGTCGTCGTCACACGTGCATGAGTGCACACCTCCTCTGCAAAAAAAAAAAAAAAAAACATGCGCCACTTAAAACTGTTTTGCCACCCCACCTGAACTGAGGGAGTAGAAGCTTTGAGTCCCAGGATGACAGCACCTGAGATTAAAGTTTTACGGCGACGATGTTTTCCGTCATCCTCAGACATCCGCAACCGTTCATGGTTTTGTTTTGTTCGTGGCCTCAAGTTGCCTCCGCCGCAAGTGTGCAGCTGGTTACCTTTGTGGACAATCTTGTAGCTACTCTTGTTAGGGGCGAGGTCCACACGTCGCTGGAGCACGATGTGCTGGCGCCGGCTGCAGAGCTTTTCCTCACGACAAGAATGCAACCGGAGCACATCTTGGCCCTCTCTACCGAGCAGCGCGAAACGTTTTAAAGCTGCGCGTGATATTGGTTTAATACGATGAGCAAAAATGCAAAGAAATATGCCCGGATGCATATATTGGAACGCCAACCTGTGCGGAGTGACGTGGCTCATGGACAGGGGTGACGCTAGATGAAATAGTGAAGCTCATTGGACATCTAACTTTAAGTGGGATTATTTACATCACCAGCATACTTCTATATTCGAACACGCGCATGCTCTTATTGCAAAAAATTAAAAACAAATGTACGGAGAAAAGCGTACGAGTCCACTTGTGTCCCACGAAGAACCAAGCAACACTTCACCGCATGACACAGGCTTTGAAGCAGCACCTCGGTTCCGTTTATACTGGTCTATTTGAATACAAACACTCTGTACACTTATTACTTTTAAACTGTTGCTGGGTAATTTATTTTCATGTGCATTTTGATTTTTTATTGTGAGAACTTTTGCATATATAGCGTTTTTTGTTGCACTGTTTACCAGAGAGAAACCAGAAATTACACATTTTTTTGCATTTAAAAATATTTTTGTTGCTCGACAACAAATAATTTTAGAAAGGGCATTTCACTGCGCAACCTTTGGTATAATGCGATGCGTGCTGGAGTACTTTTCAAACTGGCAAAGACTATCTTCCAGAAACATATAAAAATAGCCATTTCTACCCGCCAACGTAAGAGTTAAAGTAGCTTTTTGCGCTCAGAAAAGCAGGAATAGCAAAAAATAAATGAGTGGACTTAATTATTTACACTTCTTCTTCTTTACATGAGCTAAACGCTTTCGTGAATTACCAGCATAACAGAGATTTCGCAGTTATTATAAACGCACAGTGTTTTCAAGAAACCATGGATGACTGCTAGCATCCCCCCCCCCCCGCCCAGTTGTCTGATTGTACTTGGGAAGGTGCATTTAGTTATTTGGTGCATTTTTCGACACAAAAGAGCACTTTATTCACAACAGCCCATCTAAACGCTACCCTCACAAAACAGTCAAGGATTTTGGGCGCCGGCCTGGTGGTTTTTGCGCCACAAAGTTTACACCTTCTGCAAACGACGTGGCGATCAAACACAATCACGCCTTAATTACTAGAGTCATCAAAATTTCTGCACGCAAAATATGTAACAACTCCGCATGCAAAAGCGTGTACAGGGAGCCGGAGAGCTGTCATGGAACTCTGCACATTTGATACGTCCGTAAAAATTGTGGAGATCGCTCAGACTTATTCATGAAATAGATATTGCACTTAAGGCAACACGACTCACTCGTACTCAAACTCACTTAAATATCACTCACCCGGACTCGCTCAGACTGAGATTTACAGCTCGATCTGAGTCTGAGTGCGAGTGAATCGGCTCACGAGTCCGTCAGCCTAAAATTAGCTTTCTAGACTGGGATGTCAATGCTCTTTAACGCCGACTTCTCCCTTAATAATTGCTCTTCTTGACGCATTTTCATGTATAATCCCCGAATATGAGTTATGAGTGCTTGCAAAAGAGCAAGAAATTCTTTTATTGAAAGCGATGACTACATGAAAAATATTTATAAAGAAATTTCGAGGAAAAGTAGGTGGGGTTAGAGTTTAAGGTGCCCTCCTAACGAAATTCGAAGCTTTGATTAATTAATATTGAAATGGTTTATGAACGATAATGTTTTGGAATATGTGTAAGCGGACGTGAGTATAGAGGTAAATCCAAGTAAGGGTCATAGTAATGCTGAAGATGAGTAGATATGAGTCTACTTACTTACGCTGCGGTGAACTTTCTGAAGTGCGATGTGCCGTCCCGAAAGTCAGGAACAATTTTGATAATAATATCCCGAGTGTTGCGTAGCATTCTTTATCTTTCGCAGACACAGGAACAGGTGAGCAGTCGCAGCATTGCTATGTTTGGAAGTGGAGAGAGCGTCGGAAAGATTCGCCGCAGCTCCGGTCTCTGCATGAGCTATCGCAGTTTGTTCTAGCGGGTGTTTTCGAAAGAAAAAAAAAAGGTAGCCATTGTCACATTGTGCTTTGACAAGAAACAATGCCGGCCTTTTCACCGAAGCTGTTGATTGCAAGCTGTGGTCACAACTTCGTGGGCTGCTCACACGTTCATGGATTTGGGATTATACCGTTTTATGTGTATCATCATAATCTTATAAAACGGCGTAAGATGAAGGTGGCCTTGGTCACCGTCGTACATGTCTTGATAATAGTAGCGCAATTGGAGCTTGCTAAAGCGAGTGAGTAAATTTTAAGGGTTTTCCTATTACACGCTGTTTATGTGTGTGTGTGTGTGAATGAACTTCATTCTTGCTACTAAAATTTTTTTTCTGCGATTTGATTGATTAATATGTGGGGTTTAACGTCCCAAAACCACAATATGATTATGAAACACGCCGTAGTGGAGGGCTCCGGAAATTTCGAGCACCTGGGGTTCTTTAACGTGCACCCGAAGCTGAGCACGCAGGCCTACAACATTTCCGCCTCCATGGGAAATGCAGCCGCCGCAGCTGGGTTTATTCTGCGAAAGTAACATGAATGTCACGAGGAGTGTATCTTGATGCGCTAAAGTATACGCTAAAGACTGGTTATATGCTACTGATATCACGGATCTCTTGAATCGGTTACGTTTCTTCCTACACGTAGGAATAGTTTGTTTTGGTTATAGCTACGTGACATGACACTGGCGAACAAGGGGCTTGGGTGTGAACAAAGAAACGGAGAAGCCCTTCAGAGGCAGCTCAAGGAAGCTGGGTATCACAAAGATATTCCGGGCTTGATTGTGAAAGACCAAATCTGCGAAGCGAAATCTAAGGCATTGTGTATGCTGGAGCAAAATGCGTGCGCGTCAATGTTTTCTTTTACTTCTTATCTCACTTGCTGTCATAAAGAACGCTAGCGTGATTGCAACAGGAATGTGACGTCAATATCAGGTGAGGTGGCACAATTAAGTACGCTATTTCTTGTACAAAACAGCATGCAATGCTTTTTTTATCACTCGTACTTGCATGCTGCGCAAACTTGACACTGATGGATAAGGCACTATTTTTGAATCTTTTCGGTGAGATAATGGGAGAGATTATAGGTGAAGAGCCCCTTCTGTCATGCTAAGGAATAAACACGTGAAATTGCTAGGAGCTAATCTGTCCGCTTCATCTGTTAGGTGGACTTCAGTATAGGGGCAGGATTTTGGAAAATAAAAAGCGTGTTTCAGACGCTAGAAATAGGCAGAAAAACTGTGTTCAGACCACCAATATATTCAGTCATCATCATCAGCCTGACTACGCCCACTAAATGGCAAAGGTCTCTCCAATTATTCGCCAATCAACCCAATCTTGTGCTTTCCTCTGCCACGTTATACCTGCGTACGTTTTAATATCATCGGTCTACCTAACTTTATGTCTTCCCTTCGCGTTTTTGTCTCAGAATCTAGTCAGTTACCCTTAATCACCAGTGGTTATCCTGCCTACGCGCTACGTGCCCGGCTCTTGTTCATTTCTTCTTGATTTCAACTATGATATTCTTAACCCCTGTTTGTTACCTGACAATGATCTCCTCTCGTATCTTAAGGTTACACCTATCATTTTCCTTTCCATCACTCGCTGCGTCGTCCTCAATTAAAGCTGAACCCTCCTTGTAATTCTTCATGTTTCTGCTCCTTAGGTAAGTACCGACAAGATGCAGCTTTTACCTTCCTCTTGAGGGTTAGTGGTGGATTACAATTCATGACTTGAGAATGTGACCCACTCCATTCTTATTTTTCTAGTTATTTCACTCTCGTCGTCCGGTTCCACGGTTACTACCTGTCCCAAGGAGAATTATTCCTTTACAACTTCAAGCGTCTCTCTACCTATCGCGAAGCGCTGTACGTCTAGAGTAGTAATAACAATTTTTGGAGTTTAACATCTGAAACCCATGATACGTTCATTAGAGATGCCGTAGTGAAGCGCTCCGGAAATTTCAACCACCTTGGTTTTTTTTTTTTGACGTGTACCGGAATCGAAGTACACGGACCTTAAGCATTTTCGTTTCCATCATGGAAGTGACCGCCACGGCCAGGATTTGATCCCGTGACTAGTCGAGAACCATGACCCTAGACCACTATCACTGCTGTCAACATGTCAAGCAAAGGCAGAATAATTACCTTTAATAATAATAATAATAATAATAATAATAATAATAATAATAATAATAATAATAATAATAATAATAATAATAATAATAATAATAATAATAATAATAATAATAATAATAATATAAATATTAATTATAATCATCATCATCTGTAATTATCTACGTAAGTGCAAATGACTTAAAACGAAGACGTGCATCATATGTATCGACGACAGGAAAACAAAAAAAAAACTAAATTTTGTTTACGATGGCAGAACAGGCGCCAACATTCGAGCACAGCTACGAAATTGATTGTCCTTTGTCTCACACTGCTCACAGAACAGGATCTCTTCATTTATTACATAGCACGCTGAGTCAAGTGTCCGCTTTCGAATCAAGACACTATTGGGTGCCTTTCTCTCCGGCCTGACTGAGAAGGTCAGATCAGAAGGAAAAGGCAGGAATCCCTGCTATTAGCCAGATTGAAATGCGTATAGAGCTATTTGTTTTGCTGGCGGTGAACACACTGAAAAGTAAATTACTAACTAAACAACAAAAGCCGCGTAGGCATGACATGTTTATTCTTTTTTATGTATTCACTCAGCTTTGTCTTGATGGCTCTCCGGAATTGGAAAACAGTGTGAAAAACCAGAGGACACGCAGAAAGGGAACAAACACAGCACAGTAAGCGGTTTCGTATTCGCCAACTGCTCGTGCCATTGCGGCACGTTCTCGCCGGCGCACCTCACTGCACGCCTTGTAGCCATTGTTTTTCTTGAAATGGTTGTACTATAGAACTTATTCAATCTCTATAGCGCTTAAAATAGTCAATGACGCACGGCCACACGAACATTAATTTAAAACTGCGTCTCGAAGCGCAACTTCTGGCTAAATAGTGATTTTACGGGTGCCAGTTTAGAAATAGAAACAGTCATTTATATTCGTTCGTAGGCATTTTAGGCACAAGCCGCAAAACAAGAATTTATATGCACTATAATAGTGCTTCTTAACCTTTCATTCTTACTCACCTATCAAAGTGATACTTTAGTAGCGCCAGGAATAGAATAAGCATTTGCCTTAATTCCGGTGTCTGCCCCACCGCAGTGGTCTAGTGGCTAAAGTACTCGGCTGCTGACCCGCAGGTCGCGGGATGGAATCCCAGCTGCGGCGGCCGCATTTCCGATGGAGGCGGAAATGTTGTGGGCCCGTCTGCTCAGATTTGGGTGCTCGTTAAAGAACCCCCGGTGGTCGAAATTTCCGGAGCCCTCCACCTCGGCGTCTCTCATAATCATATGGTGGTTTGGGACTTTAAACCCCACATATCAATGAAAGTCCGGTTTCTAGTAATGACATATGTGAGACTTATAGTCAGGGTGATGAATGCATAATTTAGCTGCTGTTCATCAGGTACTACCAGGCTTATTGCCTACCGTTGCGTTATGGACTTAGGAGAGCCTCGTGCAGCACACAAACAGTGTTTTGTGCGGAGTAAAGCTTCATAATAGCGGGCGTTGCTGCTGTGTTTCTATTCATCTATGTCTTTATTTGCTAGCATATCATGTTACACAGTGTGGTTGACCACCTCATAGAAAATACACATAAAATAATAAACTGTGCTACAGTACACACTATCGGCTAAGTTGTATGGTTCCTCATAGTGTGGCTTTTTTTGCAGCCTTTTGTTTTATGACGTGCACAGCATGCGCTTGATTAAGAACAATAATGGTGACAATGCTTGCATTTTAAATGGAGAAATCTCTCTAGAATTATGAAGTACGTCTTAGTGGAATTCAGAATAATTTTCACCTCCTGCACTTCCTTGACGAACATGTAAATTTAACTACATGAGTGTTCTGGCCCTTCGGGAATCGAACCCGTGTTCTTAAGCTTAGTGGCACGACACCTTACCTGCCAAGCCAGCATGGAGTGTGGCGATAATAGTCAATAAGGTAAAACAATCGCAAACAGGAAACAATCTGAGAGCACTTCAAAGTTATCGGGTTCTTCGTGTATCATATAGATATACAAAAAAGAAGCTTTGTCATATTATCGTGCCCAAAATCGGCCGCAAGTGTTACGTCACATAATTACAGTCCCATTGAATGGACTAATTTTCAAAGACATATTGAAAGTGCAGCATACGTAACATAAAAATATTCAAATTCATAATGTCATAACTTTTTTTCCAGTGTTATTGTTGTTGTTACGTAGTGGCAATTATTCGCAAGCTGTTTATATTATACCACACTGTTCAAGGCTAGAGATTGACATGCAACGTTACGCACCTAAAACGTCTTGTTATTGTCTATTGAAGCCCCCATTTTTGTATATCTTGTATATTAGGGGTCGGGCGCTTTCCAAGTGAACTGATTCTAAATTTTCGCCCAAGCATTACCGCGTTGTGGTGATGCAAATTTATTTCAAATTCAACTTTATTGAGGAGAACAAACAGGCTGACCTGGAGAGCGTGCCTTACTGGTAACATTTGCTTGCATCTGCAATATAGCCTGCACCTTCCACCTTATCTCGCGTCAAACACAAGAAGAATGTGTACATGCTTTGAAGTAATTCTGTAACGTTTTTCCTACTAATTTCAAGACGTGCTGTTCCTGGTATCCAGTTTCAACAGCAACCATCGGTATTTCTGACTCTGACACATCCAGTGAGACCTCAGAATTGGGGCTATGTTTTACATTTCGAGTTGTCTGAATTTTCATTCATGAATTTTTTTTTGTATTCTGGAAGTGTTTCTGCTCTTGCCCTCACTGTAAAGCCCAAGAGATAAAACAAAATAAAGACGTAATATAATAAAAAATGAACAATGATACGTTATTACTCACGTGCAGCTTGTTGCGAAATAAATGTTTTCATTAAGTTGTGCATTAGAGATGTTCTTGCTCATAATGACGATTCACACCATAAACAACTTCATCGAAGTGAGTGATGACTCGCTCAGGTGTGTAAAAGAGGCGTTGCAGTTGCATAAAAACTTTTAAAGAATGCCTCCTTATAGAAAATATAGAATTAAAGCGTAAACCTAAAAATAAGTATAAATAATTTTATTGTAGCGTTCCTTGCGGCTGGGCTGTAACCACCGTTCTTCGCATTGAACGAGTTTGACCGTAACCCAAAAAAGCTAAACGTTTTTTTTTTTAACAAACAGGATTCAAACAGGAGCATACAGTATAGAACGGTTTACCTAAAGTAAATATCTATTATAACAAACATAATTATCTTCAGCACTATGTTGGTCAGGCTGACCACAGGGTGTCAATCTGAGAGTGCTTCATATGTTCCTAGAGCATGTTTAGCATGAAAAGGTAAACAAGAAATTCCCTTCAGTCGGGTGATAAAGTGAAGTTTCCAATGCTTTTTCGTGTCCTAAGCAGAATGATTACTACTTCTACCTGTCCATAGCTAACATTTTTTGTGCGATATTTTGTTTACGTCAGAATACTTTGCGTGTATTTCACAAACCCACACAATTACCTTAAGTGCTTTAAAACAGTGGAAATAACAAAATAACAACTGCGGTCTATTTAACTTTAGGAGTCTACATGGGCAGAGCGCAGGAAGACTTGTCTAGACTTGCAGGTGAGTTCAGTTAACTTATAAGAACAATGTGACTCATGCTTTCTTGCCAAACGTGTCAATTTCATTTCTTTTAATCGATACTGTATCAGGATATGGGGGGGGGGGGAGGGATACACAACAAAAGGGAAGGCAGGGAGGTTAACCAGGCACATGCCCGGTTTGCTATCCTATGCAGGGGGAATGGGAAGGGGAGCATAAAGATGAGAGAGAGAGGAAAGAGAAGAGAAAGAGAGAGAGAGAAAAAAAAGAGGATTGTCAGTCAATCGGTCGGCGCGTATGCAGCGGTGGCACTACACAAAAGTTAAAGGTGGTCACGTAGGCCTGTAGTCCTCAAAAAACACAAGACAAAAAGCACATGATGTGGTTGTGTTCAGGTAAGGCACCAGCTACCGCTGAGGCATTGATCTGATCGGGTGTACAACCCTACACGCGCCAAGTTACGTAAAAAGTACAACTCTGACAATGAAACTAAGACACAGAAAAATACGTGGATGAGTCAATAATTTCATGAGGCCAATCATACAGCCAGAGAACGTATCATATACGATTAATTGATGTGTGGGGTTCAATAAACGTATCACATACGTTCATAATGATGCCAACAAATAAGTTTTGTAGTACGCATTTTGAAGGAAGTAATAATTTAGCGCAAAGCAACACATGGACAGACAAAGAAGACAGTAGTATTCGTGTGTTGCTTTGCGCTAAAATATATTTCCATTAATAAACCATGAACCAGCAAGCCTAAGAAAGCGTTTTGCTTTAAGATGTATTGGGCAGGGGGCGTGAGCATCATGATTATAAATTATTGTTTCAACTTGCCACATTGCGGTCAACACAAAGTGGTCAACAATCCTTCATTGTGCTTTCTCAATAGGTTGTCGTGCTTCCGTGACCCGAATGATGCTTGTTAAAAGTGTAGTACATTACGCTTTATTTAGAAGTTTATCTGATAGAACAAAGATTAGCGTTCTCCTCACCTGCACGCTTTTGGAGCACCAAAGGTTAATTTATTATCAGTATTTCTTATAACATTATGTTAAAAGTGGTGTTATAAGTCTAGAGGTGGAGCTTTATTGGCAAAGCAAAATATCTCGGTGTGACACAGTCAGAATTCAAGGGCGGCTTTCTGCTGGGCAGTGACTATGAGCCATGCTAGATAATCTTACAGCAACTATTCCGTGCTCTATATCCAAGTCATATTATGAGTATTTTAAAGCTCAGTGAATATTCGCTTCACCGGGATTTATATTTTAAGCAAACATTGAGACGCAGTTTGGGTCGAATCACATTCAACTTCGCCCATCTGATTTTTTGAAGTCCGCCTTCATGCCTGAAAACGAGTGTTTGTGCACTTCACCTGCAGCTAAATGCTATCACTGAAGGCTGCAATTGAAATCTGGTTTCGTTTGTAGCGGGAAAATCACTTGTCAATCCCACCCATGCGCTGGTTCACAACACGAGGTTCAGCAACAATTCAACAAGAAGAAAAATTGACAAAGCATTACGTAATTCAGTCATTTGCGCAAGCTTAGTTCTTGATTACAGCTTTTTGATTACATAGTGCACCATAATTAATATGAATAATTCCCGAACCAGGTATAAGAATAAGAATAAAAGCAATGTGTGTGTAGGTTATGGTTTTATTTGGAACCTTTGACCGTGCATACCACGGAGCCGCCAGTATTATCACGAGAGATGTTTATCGAAAGCAGGCACTAAAATAAAACCAAAACAGAAATAATGGCAGCGTAATGATGATATGTTCTGGAACATCATATTCAGTGCAGCATGCGCTAATGTTCTGCTAAGCAGGTTATACATTAAAGTGTACTTCGTAAAATAGGTTCGCGCGAAAGTAAAAGTGCCGGGAAAAAAATGGACGAGTAGGATAAGAAACTAACCGTTAACTGCTTCGTCTGTATAGTGGGGAGTGTTGAAATGTTTCCTATGTTAATGTGAATTTCGGAATAAACAATACACAAATGCGCGATGGAACAGCTTGACAATTGAGCAAACGTATTGTGATAAAACATTCTTTAGACATCAGATTATGCAAGCAGGTACCCACTTTAGTAACCCAACTTATATATTTCGTTGTGTTCAAGCGGACGACTATTTGTGGATTTTTACACACAGAAACTGTCATCAACGTAATTATGCATAAAAAAATTCGTCACTGGGTGCTCTTTGGTTCGTGATCTTGAATACCGAATAGTGCGAATTCGGTACACAACTAAGAAAGAACACAGAAACACGGGACAAGTGCTACTCGCTACTAAGCATTATTCAGGAGAGTTTCTTCCAATATATACACAGCCTCGAGTGTAGCACCTGCACGAGCTGATGGGGGCTGTGTACATAAGCAGGAAAAGTTTCCTCAATAAAGTTTAGTTGCGAGTATAGCGGTTATGTGCCTCCATGTTCTTTTTTTTTGTCATGTATCTAATTCATGCTATCCGGTGTTTAAAGTGTATCTGCAACACTTTTTCAGCTTGCCGGGAGAGAACACATCGCCGATTAGTAGTCGAGGTTCCTGAAAATACGTCAGTCAAACAATATAAAACGCTTGAAGTTATCGCAATTTCTGTCCTCAAATGATGCAAAGTACCTGAATGATCCCACCATGTTTCAAAATTTCGGGCGATTGTCTGGATAAGCATTGTGAGCTGCACACTTCCATTGGCCGTCGCGCGAGGTCGCCAGGAGCCACGCACGATCTTCGCGTTTAAATAAAAACAAGCCACACTGCTCAAGATAATGATGCCTGATGACGCGTGATGTAACTTTATTCCTCGGTGCCATCCTTCTTTGCTTTAGCTCTAGCGTGCTCATGGGGGCGAGAGCAAAAATAAATCAATTACGCCACGCAACAAATCTGTAACTGTGCTCGTATACTTGAACGATTCTAACAAAATGTTTGTGGTGGTCGATCTGACAGGAACTAAACTCATTTCGTGAAGTCATTCGACGTTTGCTTGGAAACGCGTCACGGGGATCTTTTAAGGTAGTTAGACATGTCATGACCGCTTTTTTAATGAAAATATTTATAGGGTGGCGAGGAAAGCGCAGGCAAGAAGACCCAACTGTTGCAGAGGCTGGAGAGAAAAAACAGAGTAAGTATTTATACCTGTGAAGTTTTTTATTAAGGTATAAAAAAACTGGCAGCATATCCACGGAGTGAATGATGTAGAGTGGGGCGAAGCATTCGTCCGTCCATTCGTTCTTGCTTCCTTCCGTCTGTGCGACTGTCCATACGTCCATCCACCCGTCCGTGCGTGCGTCCGTTCCTGCGTTCGTCCATGCATTCGCCCCTGCGTCCGTTCATGCGTCCATTCATGCATCTGTCTGTGTGTCCGTTCGTCCATCTATTCAACACTCCAAGTATCACCATCTTGCATCTTTTCATCATATATTCCCCATATAGAAACACCGCCATACAGCGGACATTCCAGGACTAAACGAGAGGTGGCACACGCACACTTTCTAACAGCTTGCGCTTCGGGTATACTTCCCACCTTTAACCACCTCGAGTTCATGGTATATATTAGTTCACTGTATTCATGGCACTGCGGCCCAACACTCGCTAAACCTTTCTAAAACCAAGGAGGTAACGCCCAGCGAGTATAACGTAGCAACCTTTTCCTGGCAGATAGAGTTCAATGTACATGCCAATGGCTGCATGGGAAATGAGAGACAGGAGAATTCGTCTTTTACTTTCTTACGGCTTGCACTTCGTACCTACTTCCCACCTTTAACTACCTCGAGTTCATTCATGGTATACACTAGTTCATTGTATTTATGGCACTGCGGCTCAACGCTCGCTAAACCTTTCTAAAACTAAGGTCGTTACACCCAGCGGGTATAACGTAGCAACCCTTTCCCTTCAGATAGTGCTCAATGTACATGCCAATGGCTGCTAATGGGGATCGCAGCGTGCACGTTAACTAAAAGCCGAATGCTGCTGTCTCTCATACCCCATTATCAGCTATTGGCATGTACATTGAGCACTATTTTTTGTTGTTCAACAACGCACAGAAGGAATCTCTCACTGGCACCACCTTGGAGGTCAAATATTATACCTTGCAGGTCAAAGCGTAAGACTGGTTACATACTACGACGAGACGCGGGACGAACGGGTGCTGCTATAAGGAGCTTCGCCCCTAAAACTAAGCTGCATTACCTAAATGAAGTAACACTTTCGTTAAATAAATTGCACGCCTTATCGTTCAGGCTCTTAGAGCAATATCAGTGTTTGATAAACTTCAGAATTTCAAACAATAGGAACGAACGCACAAAGTCACAGGTTTATATTAGGATGTATACAAATGTTAAAAGAAAACTTGTTGTACTTGAGATCACGTAAACGAGCTGGACAATTTAGTAATTAACTTAATATTTGTATCTAGAGTATTACGTCTCAAAATCAAAATATGATCACTAGGGACGCTGTAGGGAAGGGCTCCGAAAATTTCGGCCATCTGGTGTTTTTAACGTGCGCTCACATCGCACAGTATAGACGGGTCTTTGCTATTTCACCTCCACCGAAATGCTACTGCCGCGACCGGAATAGAACACGTGACCTCCAGATTAGCAACCGAGCACCATAGCCAGAGTTTCACGGAGGAGGACTTAGTGATTCAACTTGTACGTTTTATTCCCTTTTAGTGGACATGAATTTGGAATTTTCGCGCATATTAACTGTCATCGGCCTAGTCGCGCATATAATGACTGCACTTCAAACGCGCGTTTACAGGAGTGCGAGGAGCACGCACGCTCGTAGAAAAAGTCCTGGCACAGCCTTGGGGGAAAAAAGAACACGGTACGTATGGAGAGCTGCGATATTTCTTTTATAGCTATGACGAAGGTGTAGTAAATAACTGGTGTTAAGCTCACTTCGTATGAGACCATGTTATTGGTTACGTCTCTTCCAATAATTACTTTATGCAGGTGAATTGAGTGACAGTTGGGTTATGAATACAAGCCAACAATAAGATAAATATTGTTAAAAGCAGACTTTTTAGACTTCAAGGTATACAACTGCACTCCACACATCCGTAACTAAACTGTTACAGTTAAATAGCTTTTCTAGATGCTATATTTGTGGTTGGTTTTTGTGTTTAAATAGTGCCGTCAACACAGCTATGTGTGTAATCGCGTTGCATTTTACCTATGTTTGTAGGGCATGAAGACACCCTCAGGATAACCTACGATGGGGCGCGGGAAACTTCGGCAAAACAATCAAGTAAGTATACAAAGAGCAGTGATGTTTCCTTGAGATGTAATGAGACTACAATGGCTCAGTCAAGTAACAGTGACTTCATGTGAAAGCATGCTTATTGTTTAGACCTCTCCCAACAATACCAATATTAAGGCAGCTTTATACCAGGGCTGCAAGCCTGAAGGAAAAAAAATCGAGAAACGCCAGTCTTGCGCGGAACGTGTAGCGCAGTTATAAAGCGAAAGCTAGCAGCGCGGACTTTCAGAGCGTTTTTTTTAACACTGTTTTGGTAGCTGCTGCGAGCACACTTGCAGGGTACCCAATGCGCAATAAATCATTCTGTAGAAGACATTCACTTTGTCGTTCTTCGTCACTCTTCGGAGAAACGAGGTACCCGGCGAACACTTTCAAGGAACTTTGAGGAAGTTTTTAGATGCGAACCGTCTTATGGTCGTGCTCGATTCGCTGTGGGGCGTGACCACTTTACAGCGGATGCGTGCCCTTCCCCCTGTTTTGTTCAACGATGGAAATTCGTAGCGTGTGCGTTAACTAAAAGCGAACTGCGGGTACCTGTGTCGAGTCGGAGTTTTCTGTCTCTCATTGCTAGTTAGCAGCGACTGACCCGTTCCAGTAGGAAACGCCGGCGGTCAATTACTGAGTGTTTTGTGCCTCCCCAGGTTTCTGTCCTGTGCAACGCCGCGATGAACGCCAGCGTCAATGTTGGCGCCAATGTCGCCGCACTTCTTGTTCAGCTTTCGCTCCAAAATGAAGTGCGGGGACGGGCAACTTTTTTCGTTTCTCTTCGGTTTACCTTTACAGCGAAAGCTGTTATGAGATCACAACAAGGGTCACGTGTGCCTTAGTTGTCCACCACTGCCGGCTTCAGTAGCCACTATCGCGCGAAATAGTAAAAAAAAGACTAAGTAAACAAAAAACACCAATGACACAATTGTATTCGAACCCGTGTCTCCTGCGGGTTACCACAATACTCTACCACAGAGCCATGCCATTTTTTTGCGTTATTGTCTGTTCCTAGTCACTATGCATATGCAGAATACTGTAAAGGTCGCGAAAAAAAGTGGTGGCAGTCCTACAGAAGAGACGCTAGCTTCAATATTCCTTGAGAGCTGCCTGTAGTCCCACCCTTGACAACCACTCTGAAACAGACTACTGTGTTTTCGTAAGTTCCACCAATTTCGCCACGCACTCTCGAAAGTACATTCTTGTGGGTCGTGCATTTGAATCACAGAGAAATCTTGCCATACGGGCCTGCAATAAACTGCGGAGGCCTGTTAACATCATTAAGCAAAATGGCAAAGCATCTTCATTCTCAATCGGTAGAAATCTGATATTGTGTGGGCCTAGCGGAAATTCCTTTTTGATTGTCCTCAGCAATAAAACCCAAAATACACTCCCTCCCAGCAATGCAAAAAACTTGGTCAATAGTTTCTGGCCTATTACAAATGAGACAGTCTGACTGCAGCAGAATTAAAGCACCATCCTGGTTCTGTGTCTGTGTCTCTTACACAGAGCCACACCGGTGCTTGAAAGTCCGTTACAAGCTGGCCTTAGGCAGGCTTGATGCCGGGAAAGGAATTGCCTCAACATGAGTCATAAAGCGTTTTAGAACATCAAAGCAATAACAAGGCGCCACACAGTGTGAATTGCGTAACGAGAGGGTCGTCCAAAGCTCCAACCTATTACAAACGTTTCTGGCACAATTCTTCACCTTCGTCAGCCACGGCATAAAAAAAATGCACAAATTCATTAAAAGTATGGATGGGGTACTATCCTTCTAGGAGGAATGGCGAAAGATGGCACAGTGAGTGCCACCCTACCACACAAAAGCTCGGATGATTTATGTCATACTGGGTACTCTGCAGATGTGCTTATAGCAATAACCCGAAGAGTGTTTAACAAAGGCTCTGAAAGGCTGCTCTTCCACCTTTTTTTGTGACTGTGCTGTGCGTTCCACACAGGCCTGGCGCTTTTTTTCACCTTCTTTCTTTTTCTTACCTTTTGTTTCATTCTGCCTTTGCTATTTAACTGCAATATGAATTTATTTATTTATTTTTGTCTCTTTCTCTCTCTCGCTCTTTCCTTCCTTTTTACTTTCTTTGTTTGCTCCTTTCATTTGTTTGTTTTTCTATTTCCTAGCTACTACCACTTACTAGCCGCGACAAAGTTTAGTGGGGAAGCTCCGTAGGTCAAGCAATGTCAGCTCTTCATCGGCGTGGAACACTATACACATTATATATTCATACGGATGTCCACATGAATATCCATATGGACATCTCCACACCATATGCGCATGGTGATCATTAAACAACTTTGTATATACATCACACACGCTGTCACGTCTTTGTATGATTGAGAGGAAAATGTATGGCGTTGAATGATTCCCCGGAGCTTCGCCCACTCGTCACCAATCACTTCGTGGATATGCTGTGAAATGTTTTGGCACTTCTCTCTCTTGAACTGTGCTTTCGTCGCAAGCGAAATTCAGGATGATCGCGAGAACCGATACATCATTAAGCAGGTATCAATAAATGTGACCCAGACAACTATTATATTGTTGCGAATGTATTTACTACTTTAGAGTAGAAAAGTACTCCAGCAGTCAAGATGGCAGCCGTTGTGTATTTTCGAACAGCCCCAAAACGTCGTCGTCTTCTTCTTCGCACCGCCCGCATAGCTGCATAGCCGCGAACCCGCAACATCGACCTCCGGCGGCGAAAAGCGCCGACCCGGCGCTTGTTAGCAGGTGTTGGACGAGATGTACGGCTTGAGGCGAGCGACGTGGACGATGTCGGAAGATGTGGAAGGTATCGAAGGGTTTAGAGGTGCTATTTCATAGGTAACATCAGTTACTTGCCGTAGCACACGATAAGGTCCGGAATACTTGGGTAGAAGCTTTTCAGCCAGACCAACATGTCGCGACGGAGTCCACAGAAGAACGAGGTCACCTGGACTAAAGTGGATGTCCCGATGGTGGCTGTCATAGCTACGTTTCTGACGGAGCTGCGAGTCCGAAAGGCGCTGGTGGGCAATCTGACGGGCTTTCTCCGCGGTGCTAATAGTGCGGCGAGCATATGCTGTGGACAGGTCGGCAGGGTTGGGTACAAGCGTGTCGAACGGCAATGTCGGGTCTCTTCCATACAAAAGGTGAAAGGGAGAATATCCAGCAGTGTCGTGGCGTGAGCTATTGTAAGCGAAAGTGACAAAGGGTAGCGCAATGTCCCAGTCACGATGATCCGTCGACACGTACATGGCGAGCATGTCAGTGAGTGTGCGATTCAGACGTTCTGTGAGGCCGTTTGTTTGAGGATGGTAGGCCGTCGTAAGCTTGTGCTTGGTTGCACAAGAACGAAGTAGATCGTCAATTACCTTAGATAAAAAGTAGCGACCGCGATCGGTGACCAGTTGACGAGGAGCACCATGATGTAAGATGACGTCTTGAATCAAAAGTCGGCGACATCTGTAGCGCAGCTGCTTGGAAGAGGTCTCGTAATTGCGAAACGGGTCGAGTAATCTATGGCGACGGCGACCCACCTGTTACCGTCGGTAGAAAGAGGGAAAGGGCCCAGCAGGTCGAGGCCGACACGATAGAAAGGCTCGGCAGGTACGTCGATCGGTTGAAGGAGGCCGGCGGGGTGTACCGCTGGCCTTTTGCGGCGTTGGCACGACTCACAAGACCTAACATAACGTTGTACAGAACGGTAGAGGCCGGGCCAGAAAAAGCGTCGGCGGACACGGTCGTACGTTCTGGCAACACCAAGGTGGCCAGCCGTTGGTACATCATGTAGTTGCTGAAGTACGGTCGAGTGCAAATGAGTGGGTATTACGAGTAGTAGTTCGTTTCCCACATGGTGCATGTTGCGGCGGTATAAAATGCCGTCTATGACTACGAACATGCGAAGCGAACTGTCTGTACAGCCTGTGTTCAGGCGGTCGATTAGCTCGCGTAGGGACGCGTCACGCCGTTGCTCACATCCCATGTTGCCGAAAGCAGAGAGCGAGGAAATACAGATGGACGCGTCGTCGGTTACTAGATCTGGAGCGTCAACGGGGTACCGGGAGAGGCAGTCGGCGTCTTGGTGTAAACGGCCAGACTTGTAAACCACTGTGTATGTGAATTCCTGGAGGCGCAGAGCCCAACGAGCAAGGCGCCCCGTTGGATCTTTGAGGGCTGAAAGCCAGCATAGAGCGTGATGGTCAGTGGTAACTGTGAAAGGCCGGCCATATAAATAGGGGCGGAATTTACCAACTGCCCATACAAGCGCCAGGCACTCGCGTTCCGTAATAGAGTAATTGCGTTCGGCAGGAGAAAGGAGCCGGCTGGCATACGCAAGAACTCGATCGTGACCGGATTGACGCTGGGCTAAAACCGCGCCAATACCGTAGCCACTAGCATCAGTGCGGACCTCGGTTGGAGCAGACGGGTCGAAGTGGGCGAGAATCGGTGGCGTGGTCAGAAGTGTTATGAGCTGGGAAAAGGCCGTGCCTTGATCAGGACCCCACTCAAATGGTACATCTTTCTTCAAAAGATCAGTGAGGGGGCGTGCGACCTCTGCGAAGTTTCTGACAAATCGTCGGAAATATGAGCATAGGCCCACAAAACTTCGAACGTCCTTGACACAAGTCGGTACAGGAAAATCCAGGACAGCTCGGACTTTGTCGGGATCGGGGCGGATGCCGGAGGAGTCAACGAGATGCCCTAGAATAGTAACTTGGCGATGCCCAAAATGGCATTTCGAAGAATTAAGTTGGAGCCCAGCCTCTCGAAATACTGAAAGAATTGAGGAAAGGCGCTCGAGGTGAGACTTAAAGGTTGGGGCAAACACAATCACGTCGTCCAGATAACACAGGCAGATAGACCATTTAAAGCTGCGCAAAAGCGTGTCCATCATCCGCTCGAACGTTGCCGGCGCATTGCACAAGCCAAACGGCATTACCTTGAATTGGTAGAGACCGTCGGGCGTTACAAAGGCGGTCTTCTCCCGGTCGAGGTCGTCCACGGCGATCTGCCAGTAACCGGAGCGTAAGTCTATCGAAGAAAAATAGGTTGCGCCATGAAGGCAGTCCAGGGCATCATCAATACGAGGTAACGGGTAGACATCCCTTTTGGTGACCTTGTTTAAATGCCGATAGTCCACGCAGAAACGCCAGGTATTGTCCTTCTTTTTAACTAACACTACAGGGGACGCCCACGGACTCGATGAGGGCTCTATGATGCCTTTTGTGAGCATCTTATTCACCTCCTGTTGGATAACTTGGCGCTCTGATGGTGACACTCGATAGGGACGCCTGTGAATTGGAGCTGCATCACCGGTATTAATGCGATGTTTGACTTGCGATGTTTGACCTATGGGCCTACCGTCAAAGTCAAATATGTCCGAATAGCTCGTGAGAAGATCAGTGAGGTCTTTGACCTGAGACGGCAACAGGTCTGAGGCAATCATCTTAGTTACATTGTTGAGCCGTGTAGAGTTGGCTGCGTCGGTGCTATGCGGGTTCGGCGAGGCGACTGTGGCCAGTTCACGTGACACTGATGAGATCTGGCACTCGTGTGACGGTGAAAGAGTGGCGAGAACAATGCCTTGTGGTAGGATTTGAGGGCTGAGTCCGAAGTTCAGAAGAGGAAGGCACGTCTTGTTCGCTGTGACAGTTAATATGGTGTACGGGGAGGAAACGTTGCGGGCCAGTAAAACACCAGGAGAGGGAAAGACCACGTAATCCCCATCCGGAACACTGGGATATGGTTCAACTGTGACACAAGTTAGGGCTTGGGGTGGGAGGCGAACAAACTCAGCGCACGAAAGCTTGTTCTGTACCATCTTCGACTCTTCGGTGGCCGCAGGCAAGTCAAGTTGCACGACGCCGGCTGAGCAGTCAATTACAGCGGAGTGGTCGGACAAAAAATCGAGTCCAAGGATGACGTCATGTGGACAGTGAGCGAGAACATGGAATAGAACGGACGTCTGGCGGTCGGCGAATCTCACACGCGCGGTGCACATTCCGAGCACAGCCGGGGTCGCTCCACTAGCGACACGTACAAATAGGGACTCTGGCGGCGTAAGGACCTTGTTTAATCGTGCACGGAGGTCAGAGCTCAGAATTGAAATATGTGCGCCGGTGTCAATAAGGGCAGTAACAGGAAGGCCATCCACTTCTACATCAAGCAGGTTTTTGTCCGTAGTCAAGGTCAGCAGAGGGTTTTCAGGTCGGGAGTCCAATGCAGCGTCACCTCCGGGAGCTGCATTGCTCAGTTTTCCGAAGAAGGGCGTCCACTAGGGTGGGGCGACGAATAGCGGCGGTGCTGAGGTGACCTGGAGCGACGGTCATGCGGGGACGGCGAACGGCTGGACCGGCGGACTGGCGTCGCAGGAGTGCCATTGTACGGTCCATCGTCACGAGCGCTGTACTGCAGGGGCCGGTGGTTGTCGTCACGTCGATAGCCAGGAAACGACCGAGGTGGATACGTGCGGAAACGACAGTAGCGGGAGATGTGTCCTACACCATGACAATGAAAACATATAGGCTTGTCGTCCTGTGTCCTCCACTGAGCAGGATCACGATAGCGGCGGAATCTTTCTGGTGCAGGAGAAGGCGCTATGGTACTGACCCGAGGTTCCGTCAACGAACATACAGGCTGCAGCCCAACGTTTGCCAGTTCCTCTCTCACGACCTGTTGGATCAACGAGATCGTTGGTCGATCATCAGATGGGCGGGTCAGAAAAGACGGAGACGCGGCCTCGATTTCTCTACGAACGATGCGAACCACACTCTCGTTGTTATGTGGTTGACTGCATGGCGGCTGAAGGTCCTCGCAAGATGACGTAGCGGCCGTGTTCGGAAGACGCAAGAAATTCTTGGCGACCCGGCGACTCTTCAGCTCTTCGAATCGGCGGCACTCTTTGATGATGTCATCAATGGTGGAACAGTCTTTGGAAACCAGTATGTTAAAAGCATCATCTGCAATGCCTTTAAGTAAATGGCTTACTTTGTCTTCCTCGGACATGTTGGGGTCGGCACGATGGCAAAGGGCGAGAACGTCAAGGATGTAGGTGACATATGATTCGGTCGTAGTTTGTGCCCGACCAGAGAGTTCTTTAGAAGCGGCCCGCTGGCGTCCGACGGCCTTACCAAACAGGTCACGAAGCTTCTGTTTGCAAGTATCCCAGCTGGTTATGTCCGCTTCATGAGCCTCGAACCACGCGCCAGCTGTTCCGCAGAGATAGAAGCCAACGTTGGCGAGCATCATCGTAGGGTCCCACCGGTACACTGCTGCAAACCGCTCGAACTTCGGAATCCAGTCGTCAACGTCAACATGGTCGGTGCCGCAGAAGTTGCCAGGGTCGCGCGGTTGCGTCAATACGACCGGCTGTACAGGCTGCGCCGGAGTCGCGGCTGAAACAGGAGCGGCAGAATTGGTTTCTGTTGCCATGGTCGGGCAGTCGAGAACACGTCCGCTTCGAAGTTCCGTCTTGCGTCGTACCCAGCGCCACCACCAAAATGTTGCGAATGTATTTACTACTTTAGAGTAGAAAAGTACTCCAGCAGTCAAGATGGCAGCCGTTGTGTATTTTCGAACAGCCCCAAAACGTTGTCGTCTTCTTCTTCGCACCGCCCGCATAGCTGCATAGCCGCGAACCCGCAACAATATTATTATAAATAAAATAAATAATTTAGACATAAGTAATGCCCAGACAATGTGTTAAACTTCTATTCTAGAGGGGCCAAGACATCTCGTTGGAAAACCTGGGGGATATTATGTCGGTGAGTACTTACTCGAGCTCCTTGAATGTGAATACTCTTTCGATACATTTGCGCTGCAACTCATAATCTACCGATGACTGGAAGCACTGTATATCTTGATCCATTGCTGTTTACTGTGTTGGAATGATGCACGTGAAACTTTTGTATAAAACGTTCCAAGGCAAAAATATTTTTGTACTCTCCCCTATGTATTCGTAAAAATAACATCTTTATCTTAACAAAAGTAAGAACACCGCTATTATGTCAAGTCCAAGCGTATGCAAACAGGATCTTCACCCTCTGTGTTTTTTTTACTTGTGAGGTTGAACGTGTAAATACCACCACGTTATTAGGAGGCGCACATCCAGGGGGCTGCTTGAAAAATTTTGACCACTTAGCATTCATTAAGGTGCACCTTAATCTATTTACGCAGATCTTGAGCATAGCACTCAGTAAAAAAAAAATGAGAATGATCATACCGTACTGAACATAGGAACCGGGAGACACCATTGCCAGAATATGGCATCTTTTCGCCAGGTTACAGCCTTTGAGGGGTTCAACTCAACTGCAGAACTGGCAAAGACTGCCTCATGACTGGGCTTTTTTGGTCGGCTGCAGCTGAATCTTCAATCACGTCCGCCACAGCAAGATAATATCATCGTCAGCCGGGTGTGCGTTACAAATAACGGGTGCTCTGAATGTCATACTTGGGGGCCCTTTGGTAGACAAACCGACTCATCGAACAGTGCCACCTCGCAATGAGAAGCATATCAAGAAAGGTGCAATTATTTGATGTGCTCGTTTTTTTGTCGACCCAGCTGAATGAATCCAACGAGGAAATAAGCCAAGAGAAGCATCATCGACGTTATCTGTTGGTTTTCAGTGATATAGTAATTTTGACAGAAATCAATATAACTGACGTGGATGAAAACGCACTTTCCCCGTCGGGGGGGCTTCAACCCCCTACCTTCGAAATAAGAGTGCCCGGCTCTGGTAAAAGAGATACAGATGCAGGGTGTTTCTCCCACCACTTTGGGTATTGTAATTCAATTCTATTTGCGCATCAATTTCTTTTTTTTCTTGTACAAAACACAAGAAACAAGAGGGTGTTGGGGGGTTATGGCATATAGCCTGACAAAGAACTGATTACCCTAGTATAGAGTTCTTACTGCACAAATATTTATACAGTAATCAACATTGATAGAAGAAACAGACAAAAGATAGCTTTCTCGGCATCTAGAATACCATGAAAAAAAGAAGCAATAGAGAAAAGAGCTCACATAAACATTTCATGTTACAATGAGTCTAGCTTGGGCTATACAAATCTTGTACCTAACATGCCCAAGTAACGATCACGCGAAAAAGATTGGTCTTGAACGTAGAGGCATGAGATACACAACATTCTCGTGGTGAATCAAATACATTCAGTGCAAATTTATATCGCTGAACTACTACAGTTGCTCGCTTTAGTATTTTTAATGATCGATTAAAGCGTATGTTTTCTCATGTTAGCACTCTTTTAGTCATGTATCTTTAGTTATTATTCTGTAGAATGAAAAGTAAGCATAGGTTCTAACATTTTTACTATGTTAAATTTGTTTAATTTCGCTGCGTATAGTCTCTGCAGGTGGGGAGTGGGCACGCGGCGAGTTACTGAAGACATTTGTAGATGCTACAGTGGCATGTGACAGACCTCAGGTGCTAGCTACATCAAACCCGCTCTTCATTTTATAATCGCGAGTGTTATCTTGATAACTTTGCAACGACATCGAACAAGCTGCTGCCGCATGGTGCAAAGATAACTTCTGTCACCCGACGCTGCGTCACTATATGTGACCATTGTTCCAATGGAGGTGCGCGCAGTGTTACATGTGTAAAGAGGTTTATTGGGTGAACCAATGTGGAAGATTCGAGATAGCGACAGGACGAGGAAGATGGAGGAGCTTGAGCGCCGATCTCGTGGAGCCTTACTCTGCGATGATGCTTGTTGTTCCCTTTTGTTGTCATCATTCCTTCATTATACATGTTTTTTAAACATTTTTACGATGCATAAAATTATAATCCCAATCTGTTTATCTACTTTTTTTTGCGTGCACATTAGGCAATGAACCGAAATGGAAACTGTGGAAGAAAGTCAAGAAGCATGGTAAACAAGGTGCGTCGACCCGAAAATTTCTCTATGAAGCAGGTTGTTGTGAGATTCGTAAGGGGGCAAAGACTGCCAATAATTGAAACATACATATATAATGTGGCGTGCTAGGTTAAAAAATCAATTTACTTCTAATTATTCTCACTCTCTGATGGTCTTATGCTTCTGTGCATTGCTTAAGTGAGCGTAGCCGTTATTGGCGTAGCCGTATTCACAACAGTATCTTTAAAAGAAGAAACTATTTTGCTGTAGTAACTGCCTTATCACTGAATTAACGCATCAGAAAGGAGTGGTATATCAGGAGATAATCAAGGAGAACTAAACTAATTCGAGAAATGACACTTAGCGCTAAATTGGGGCACGAGAGACGGAGGGAGGTGTGAGTTTGTGACACTTACTTTGGCACTTGGTCACAATCGATGAATTTTGTCGTATGTTTTAGGGAATCGGATCAGCTTGACGCCAACAGGTCCTGCAGGAAAACAGAATGAAGCAAGGATTGAGGGTAAGTGAAGCTTTCGGTTACTGTAAAAAGGAGTACTGTTGAAGCATGTGTACAAAGTCATCTAACTATACGTTTTGATTTCCTTGTGTCCTTGTGCTACGTTAGGGTGGTTGTCAGTTAATCCTTTCATAATGTAAGAGTGAATTAGATCAGGTTTGCAACACCAGAATAAAAATGCTGCTCTTACATTCGTTGTTATTGTTACCAACCACAACTATACCAAGCATAATGAGGCCGGGGCAGTAGAATAAATATACACATTTTACTAGTCTCTATAGTAATAAGGTATTAGCAGTGCATGTGAACGAACCTGTATAAAAAACTTGGCAAACGTCTAATGTCACGTCATCTATCAGATGTGCAATTTTTATGTCCATAGGCAACGGAAATATACTGCCAGAAAGTGGGACAGGGTCCAATGAAGGTGTAACAACAGGTAAGTGCCACCGCCGCATATATATACAACACTCGCATAAGACCTCCACTTTGAAAACGACATGATTTCGCACCATCTTCTACACTAGAAATCAGACACACTTCAACAGTAAGCTAGCAAGCTTCTTTCGATGCCACTTAATGATATGCTCTTTGTGCCTCTCCTCATGGATATTATCACTGACATCGAGTTTATAAAAGGCCCACTTTGATCTTATCACACATAAGACGAACTCACAAGATTGTTTCCAATGTTTCGCGTTTAAAATACTTATGGCGAAAGCTATAGATGCCTCATAAAATGCGATGAGTGACAGTCAGTGCTATAATAAGGGATTATAAAAGTCACCCTGGGATGATATTCAGATGTGAAATCCTGACGCAACATGCCAAATAGATTACCTTTTTGTAATGGTTGCGAATCACGAAATGGTCCTCTCCTTCCTCAGTTCAAACTGTGTGATGTCTGGCTGTTATTTTGCTCCGATATCAAAAAGTCATGGGAAATTTTTAACGTGATTTTTATACCTACATGAAGCATGTATAGGGTCATTTTGGGATGGAATTCCCCTCACTGGCGTGGCTTTTTGGAACAATTTGCGACTGCCAGGCAGAGGGCCTAGAGTCAAGTCACCACCCGATTATAAGTATTTTCTTTATTCATTGGTTGCCGTAGCACTTAGGTACACTAGTGACGGCAGCAGCAAGCTATGCCACCAAAAACGGCAGTTTTAATTCCACAGCAGCTTTCCCTTTGAAACTGAACTAGTTAAGTGCGTAAGTGTAAGTGTTCCTGTAACATAGACTTATTCAAAACTACAACAAACGAAGTTATACTAAACTTCAGACTGACCACTTCTTCCCAACAGATAAAAAAAGAAGAACGTTTCAAAACTACTACGAGAATCGCTATTCTAATCACCAGAAAAATGCATGCCTGCCCCACAGGTGTCACTATACTGCTTGAATAATAGCGTTCAGCTGCCACAAAGTTCTGTTCAAGAAGCTACCAGAACTGCGTCGCGGAACTCTGCAAATTTTTCTATATAAGCTTGAACTGATCCGCGGGTTCATATATTTATTAGCTACGATTCAGCAACTTTGTCCGGACTGCGCCACGTTTAAAAACTTCTACGCATAGAAATTCCTCACATAAAGTTATATGCGCAACGTGCTGAAGTGTGAGGCTGACATATGTGGCTTAAGTTCTCGAACGTTGTATAACTAGTCATGCAACAAAACTCCATAGGTGTGTGGAATTGAAGCAATCTTATTGAATGGTACTCCGTTTAGAAGTAATGTAAGTGTAGATGTGTTAAAGACTCATAGTTATAAATGGTTCCCACAGTTGAAAAGACGTGCAAACGAACAATAACATTTTTTCTGCTTCACGGTTCAGTGCAGTGACGCATATGTAACTTGATCAAGGCCGCATACCCTCAATTATGTTTTGTATGCGCAACTGGTGCAATAAATCAGACACCGCCATCATAATCGACGGAGGTTGGAAAGGAATAGGGGTTAATCCCTTCTCCCCCACTTTGCCCGAAGGAAACTGCCGGACTTCAAATAATGTTTTCTCATTCAAAATTAACGAATCCTCGACAGCCGTCGATGTTTAGGTAATTTGTGCCGGACGCTGCATTAACTCCAAAGAAAGGCTTTTAGTTCGGTAATTGCGACTCTTTGTAGAGAACCTTGAAATAAGTGGCGAGAAAAGTGCTTTCACTGACGGCGGAATGGGAGTGAACCCGCACGCCAGCGAGGAATCAATGGACGAGTTACAGAGCTTTATTGAGGTCGAAAACGCCACGTTGCTTTCCCTGCCGGAAGCGGGCCGCTCCCACATTGACACTAAGACGTTCTTACGTTCACGATAAAAAATTTTTGCAGATATCACCTAAAAAAAAGTGGGTAGCAAAAAAAGTGGCATATTGGGTGTGCTGAAGAAAATATGTTTGTAATATATTGCCACGTTCCATTTCCCAAATTTTTGTTATCGTCCCAAAACACCACACGATTCTCAGCGCAAACCGCGCCTGCAGTTTTCGAGAAGGTTCCGGACTGTAGTAGATCATTTCGATAAGATCACGCCCACTGTGCGAACGGTACAGATTGTTCTGGAACCTACGCCACCGCCAGCGATAACGCTAGAACATTCGACGGCAAGAGTATAAATGCCGACGCGCTTCACCGCTTGTCAGTTGTTGATCGTAGGCCGACGCTCCGTTCGCCGCTATCAGTCCGAGACTGCTATCTGTGCGAGACTGCTGCCGTAATTGGACTATCCGTTTACCGGGCACAGGTTCGCCCAAATAAACAGTTAAATCCCAACACGAAGTCTCCTGTCTTCAGCCACGTCACGACCCCGTGACATCTGGTGGAGGTGCTGCTTCGTTCATGTACCGGACGCCCCCGTCAAGCCGTGAACCCAGCCCACGTCGCGGAGAAGACACCGACGCCAACCAGGAGCAGCGAACAAGCCGCCGACAGCAAGGGCTACCACCGGAGTACGGGCTTCTACAAGACAAGGCGCGGAAGACCAAGGTCATGACCGCGACTGCAGCGACAATGACAACCGCAGCGTCCCAGCCCACGATGGTCATGCATCAACCCAGAGAACCACCAATTTTCCATGGGTCATCGTTCGAAGACCCGGAGTCCTGGCTAGAAACATACGACCGTGTGGCCGCCCTACCCCACTGGGACCATGACGCAAAGCTGCGTCGTGTGTTCTTCTATTTGGAAGACACCGCAAGGACCTGGCTCGAAAATCGGGAGTCCACGCTCCGAACGTGGGATGTCTTCTGCGGCGCATTCCTGCAAACGTTCGCGAGCGTCGCTCGCAAAGAGAGGGCCGCTGCTTTATTAGAGACCCGGGTTCAGCTCCCAAATGAAAATGTTGCCATTTTCACAGAAGAAATGACCCGACTATTCCGTCACGCTGACCCAGACATGCCTGAGGAGAAAAAAGTTCGTTTCCTCATGCGAGGGGTCAAACAGGAGCTCTTCGCGGGACTGATGAGAAACCCACCAAAAAACGTCCAAGAATTTGTAGCCGAAGCGACCACTATCGAAAAGACCCTGGACATGCGCACCAGACAGTATAATCGTCGCCTGACTGCAGACTGCGCAGCTGCTCAAGCCAGTAACTCCGGAGACCTGCGTGAAACGATCCGAGCGATCGTGCAGGAAGAGCTGCGCAAGCTGTTGCCTTAGGCGCAGCCTCAAGTGGATTCAATCGCCGACATTGTGCGAGAAGTTCGGCAATCGCTTCAAATTCCTCACGCACCGCTGCCAGAGCCGGAAGCTATGAGCTATGCCGCTGCACTGCGCCACAACACTCCTCCCCATCCTCGCCAAAACGCCACCCCATCGCACTTCCGATGCTGACTGCTGACTGCAGGCGCAGCTCTGCGACCAGAACTCCTGCAGGCCCTGCACGACGATCCGACGGCAGGGCACCTCGGTGTTTCTCGCACGCTCGCGAGGATACGAGAAAGGTACTACTGGCCACGTCTTACCACCGACGTCACTCGTTATGTGAGGACATGCCGGGACTGTCAGCGACGCAAGACACCGCCGACATGGCCAGCGGGACTTCTGCAGCCAATTGATTTACCTTGCCGACCTTTCCAGCAGATTGCTATGGACCTACTGGGGCCGTTCCCGACGTCGGATTTCGGAAACAAGTGGATCGTGGTAGCTACCGACTACCTCACCCGCTACGCCGAGACAAAAGCCCTGCCAAAAGGCAGTGCATCTGAGGTAGCTAAGTTCTTCATCGAAAATATCGTCCTACGTCACGGCGCCCCGGAGGTCCTTATCACCGACAGAGGAACCGCATTCACTGCCGACTTAACTCAAGCGATCTTGGCATACAGCCAAACAAACCACCGCCGGACGACAGCGTACCACCCACAGACCAACGGCCTCACCAAGCGGCTTAACGAGACGATCGCCGACATGCTGTCAATGTACGTCGATGTCGAACACAAGACGTGGGACGCCATTCTTCCGTATGTAACCTTCGCATACAACACGGCGGTGCAGGAGACGACGCAGATATCTCCATACAAATTGGTCTACGGAAGGAGCCCGGCAACGACGCTCGACGCCATGTTACCCAACGTCACCGACGAAGAAAGCCTCGATGTGAGCGAGTACCTTCAACGTGCTGAAGAAGCCCGACAACTTGCGCGTCTTCGTATCAAGAATCAACAGACGACAGACAGCCACCGTTACAACATTCGACGACGTTTCGTGGAATACCAGCCCGGTGAACGTGTTTGGGTGTGGACGCCGATACGCCGACGTGGACTAAGTGAAAAGCTTCTGCGACGCTACTTCGGACCGTACAGGGTGGTTCAACGTCTCGGCCCACTTGATTATGAGGTTGTCCCCGACGGCATCACGAACTCTCAACGACGCCGATCGCGACCTGAAGTCGTGCATGTCGCGCGCCTCAAGCCGTTTCATGCGCGTTAACAAACTGAAACAGTGTTTTTTTGTATTATTGTTTCATCGTAATTTATTCATTGTACTTTCTTGCATTATTATTGTACCTTCATCTTTAGTTAAAGCATCGGGACGATGCCTTTTTTCAGAGGGGGGCAATGCCACGTTCCATTTCCCAAGTTTTTGTTAGCATCCCAAAACACCACACGATTCTCAGCGCAAACCGCGCCTGCAGTTTTCAAGAAGGTTCCAGAGTGTAGTAGATCATTTCGATAAGATCACGCCCACTGTGCGAACGGTACAGATTGTTCTGTAACCTACGCCACCGCCAGCGATAACGCTAGAACATTCGACGGCAAGAGTATAAATGCCGACGCGCTTCGCCGCTTGTCAGTTGTTGATCGTAGGCCGACGCTCCGTTCGCCGCTATCAGTCCGAGACTGCTATCTGTGCGAGACTGCTGCTGTAATTGGACTTTCCGTTTACCGGGCACAGGTTCGCCCAAATAAACAGTTAAATCCCAACACGAAGTCTCCTGT